GAGAATGGCGCGAACCCGGGAGGCGGAGCTTGCAGTGAGTCGAGATCGCACCCGTGTACTCCAGCCTGGGCGACAGAGCAAGACTCCGTCTCAAAAAAAAAAAAAAAAAAAAAGTGGGACATCAAAGATGGGCTTCTCCCTAAACCCTTGCCTAGAGACCCAACTTCTAGCCAATCTAGCCACACTGCGTAACATCCAGACAGGCAGCTCTCTTGCCAGCCTGTAGGTGAGCTCTTCCCCGCACAGCCAAAGCGTCCCACCAGCAACATGGAAGTTGCCTCAAGCAAAATGCCACTACATCAGAGGGAGTGATTGGAATGCATCTGTGAGGCTAATGCTCCAAAACTGTGCCAAGACACATTTTCTAAGACAGAGCACCCTTGTTATGCAGAGGCCTGCTCCACCTTTGTGCAAAAGTACCAACATTTACCTTCACCTTAGAACTGTTCTCAGGCCGGGCGCGGTGGCTCATGCCTGTAATCCCGGCACTTTGGGAGGCCGAGACGGGTGGATCACGAGGTCAGGAAATCGAGACCATCCTGGCTAACACGGTGAAACCCCGTCTCTACTAAAAAATACAAAAAACTAGCCGGGTGAGGTGGCGGGCGCCTGTAGTCCCAGCTACTCGGGAGGCTGAGGCAGGAGAATGGCGTGAACCCGGGAGGCGGAGCTTGCAGTGAGCTGAGATTCGGCCACAGCACTCCGCCTGGGCGACAGAGCGAGACTCCGTCTCAAAAAAAAAAAAAAAAAAAAGAGCCGGGCGCGGTGGCTCAAGCCTGTAATCCCAGCACTTTGGGAGGCCGAGGCGGGCGGATCACAAGGTCAGGAGATCGAGACCACAGTGAAACCCCGTCTCTACTAAAAATACAAAAAAAATTAGCCGGGCGCGGTGGCGGGCGCCTGTAGTCCCAGCTACTCAGGAGGCTGAGGCAGGAGAATGGCGTGAACCCAGCAGGCGGAGCTTGCAGTGAGCCGAGATCGCTCCACTGCACTCCAGCCTGGGCAACAGCGTGAGACTCCGTCTCAAAAAAAAAAAAAAAAAAAAGAACTGTTCTCAACATGGAGGAAAAGGCAGCATCTTATTTGGTTAATTTATCTGTTCAGCAACTATTGAGTACCTACCAGGTATTAGGCACTACGCTAATTGCTAGGGACAGATACAAATGTAAATGAAATTTCAATCTTGGCTCTCTTTTGTTCTCCCTCAGCAGTCAAGGTTAACACCTCTCAAGATATTTAAAAAATATATAACCAGCCAGGCATGGTGGCTCAAGCCTGTAATCCCAGCACTTTGGGAGGCCGAGGCGGGCGGATCACGAGGTCAGGAGATCGAGATCATCCTGGTTAACACAGTGAAGCCCCGTCTCTACTAAAAATACAGAAAAAATTAGCCGGGCGTGGTGGTGAGCACCTGTAGTCCCAGCTACTCAGGAGGCTGAGGCAGGAGAATGGCGTGAACCCAGCAGGCAGAGCTTGCAGTGAGCCGAGATCGCTCCACTGCACTCCAGCCTGGGCAACAGCGTGAGACTCCGTCTCAAAAAAAAAAAAAAAAAAAGAACTGTTCTCAACATGGAGGAAAAGGCAGCATCTTATTTGGTTAATTTATCTGTTCAGCAACTATTGAGTACCTACCAGGTATTAGGCACTACGCTAATTGCTAGGGACAGATACAAATGTAAATGAAATTTCAATCTTGGCTCTCTTTTGTTCTCCCTCAGCAGTCAAGGTTAACACCTCTCAAGATATTTAAAAAATATATAACCAGCCAGGCATGGTGGCTCAAGCCTGTAATCCCAGCACTTTGGGAGGCCGAGGCGGGCGGATCACGAGGTCAGGAGATCGAGATCATCCTGGTTAACACAGTGAAGCCCCGTCTCTACTAAAAATACAGAAAAAATTAGCCGGGCGTGGTGGTGAGCACCTGTAGTCCCAGCTACTCAGGAGGCTGAGGCAGGAGAATGGCGTGAACCTGGGAGGTGGAGCTTTCAGTGAGCAGAGATCGCACCACTGCTCCAGCCTGGGTGACAGAGCGAGACTCAGTCTTACAAAAAAAAAAAAAAAAAAAAAAAAAAAAAAAAATATATATATATATATATATATATATAAAAAACCGAAGTCACAAAGTCACATCTTATTCCCAACTTCTCATTCTTATTGGTGTATCTGCTTTCTGTCTTTTACTTTTAGAGACAGGGTCTCACTCTGTCACCCAGGCTGTAATGCAGTGGTGTGATCACAGCCCATGCCGAGTTGAACTCCTGGGCTCAAAGCATCCTCCCACCTCAGCTTCCCGAGTAGCTAGGACTACAGGTGCATGCCACCATGCCCAGCTAATTTTTAAGATTTTTTTGGTAGAGAAGGGTAAGGGGGGGGTCTCACTATGTGGCCCAAGCTGGTCTCAAGCTCCTGACTTCAAGTAATCCTCCCGCTGCTGCCTCCTCCCAAAGTGTTGGCATTACAGGCATGAGCCACCACACCTGGCCTGATGTATATTCAAAGGGACACTTAGTAAAGATAGGGAGGAATGCAAACGGGGGGCTCAGAGAGAATAAGGCTCTGCCAACTTTTTGATCCCCGGGTAGATTGGACTTCACACATTATTTTTTGACAGTCTTACTCTGTCACCCAGGCTGGAGTACAGTGGCATGATCTCATCTCACTGCAATCTCCACCTCCCAGGCTCAAGCAATTCTCCTGCCTCAGTCTCCCGAGTAGCTGTGATTTTAGGTGTGTACCACGGTGCCAGGTTAATTTTTGTACTTCTAGTAAAGACAGGGTTTCGCCATGTTGGCCAGGCTGGTCTTGAACTCCTGACCCTCAAGTGATCCGCCTGCCTTGGCCCCACAAAGTGCTGGGATTACAGGCGTGAGCCACTGCACCCAGCATTTTTTTTTTTTTCTGAGACAGTCTCACTCTGTCGCCCAAGCTGGAGTGCAATGGTGCTATCTCGGCTCACTGCAACCTCTGCCTCCCGGGTTGTAGTCATTCTCCTGCCTCAGCCTTCCAGTAGCTGGAATGACAGGAACATGCCACCATGCCTGGCTACTTTATTTTAGTAGAGACAGGGTTTCGCCATGTTGGCCAGATTCGTCTCAAACTCCTGACCTCAGATGATCCACCTGCCTCGGCCTCCCAAAGTACTGGGATTACAGGCGTGAGCCACCACGCCCAGCCTGGACCTCACACATTCTTGCAGAGTTAGCTAGCCACAAGCAAGTCTCCATTGAGCCAGAAATGTCTGTGGCAGCTCTGGGGTTGAAATACACACCAATTTATTTTGTCTATGCTCTTTCCATGGCAATATCCAATACTCTATGGAAGCTTAATCAGCTTCCTTGGGGTGGGGGTGAGAGATAAACCAGGATATAGACAGACACTTCATCACCTTCAAAAGGAAGAATGTAGGTCAGCATCTTTGCCACTGCTCTAAGTGAAGCAGCCTATAATCGTGGCAAAAACTGCTAACCACAAGCCCATCCCATCCCATCCCACTAAAACTCCTACCACCTTCCTGTAGCTCTCAGCTTCAGTGAGAAAAGCCAGCAAGGAAAGGGCTTTCTTCCTCAGCAGTCTGAATTACACTTAAGACTTTACTGACAAACATATATCAGTTTTTGCTCCCACAAGGGCAGCGGAAGCCAAGCAGGGACACTAAGTCTGCTTCACGCATCATTGACAGAACCAATCCTGTTCCAATTGCTAAAGTCTTAAGAGCAGCAATGACCTAGAAATTGACAATGAGGGGAGAAGTAAAGAAAAGGAAACTAACAAATCAGTAGACAGAAAACCCTATTTCCAAAACCAGGGGAAAGAGAAAGGAGATAGAGGGGAAACAAATTTGGCCCCTTCGAATCTACCAATGTGATTTTGGCTGGAAGCCAGGGAGGATACATAGCAGCCCCACTGCGAGTCAAGCCGTGTTCCTGACTCAAGCCCTACAGTTAAGATGAAGGCGCCAAGCCTCAAACACAACGAGGTGGGGAGGCTGCTCCTTATTGGGCAGGATCCTATTGTGGACACAGAACAGACAGCAGCTGCCCACAGTGTGGAAACAAACTGTAAAGCAGTCACGTCTCTTAAGGCTGCAGCATCCAATAAAATGTAATTTAAATCAAGCTTCGCATCTGTTCTCAATCCCATTCAGTCTCTGCTCTCCATCAGTCTTTGGACAATCTTTGCAATTATGCCTGTTAACCCTTATACTCCCAGACACTTTCCAACCTTCTAGGTATAGAACTGTGTTTCCATGTTCAAACTGCCTTCAGAGGGAATGAATGCTCTAGTAAAGGAGTGTGAGAACAACATTCAGGCTCATGCCTACAGACTATCTTGTGCTACACACACCAGTGGGTAGTGTTCATTTCAGAGGGCTCTCTCTGCTTTCCCTGCCTCTATCCCATACCACCTGTTGTAGTTCAGATCACATTACAAGGATACAGTGGTCAGGATGAATGAAACAGTGGCCAACATATCATTTGTACACATATCAAGTTCCCAAATGGAAGGCCATGTCAGAAAGGTAGAGGCGGCAGCAGGAGAGCTCTGGGAAAAGCAGACTTGGTCACTGGCTCTCAGATCATTCGTATCACACATGGTTTACACTTCAAGCATTTGCTTGAGTTATAAAAGTACAGCAATCTCCCAAACAAATCAAACTAGAACTTCCCCCTTTCCCTCAAAACTACCTCAGCCTCAAGCATCCCCTTTCAAAGCAGTCAATGTTATAATGGTGCCCTCTGGTGTCTCAGTCACAAATTGCCATTTAATGCCACCAAACCAAACCCAGAAGACTCTTGATTAACCAACCATATGGACGAATTTATCTAATAAGACTGGAAAAATGTGTTTAGATGAAAACCCAACCCCAAAGTAAGCATCTTGAAATAAGTGGCTTCATCCAAGGGCAGCGAAGACTGTGGGACAATCTAGGAAGGAATTTTCACATTGACTTCTGAAAGCTTGAGCTCTCTTGAAATCTGATTGCTTAAAAAGACAAAGAATGCAACTTGAAAATAAATATATTCACAATCTGTAGAGTTACAGTCTCCTTATGACCCCAACGCCCTTGGGAGTGCCCAAGAAACTCAACGAGTCTTTAAAATGCCATAATGTCATAGTATCTGCACCATGAACATAGTATACTCCAAAAAGAAAGAAATTCTTTAACCAGTGTCCTACAAATCTCCATGTGGACTTGCTTGCATTTTTCTGGATCATTTTCATTCTTCTTACCCTAACCTCAAAGTTCTTAACAAAATACACTCATGGCTGGGCGTGGTGGCTCACGCCTGTAATCCCAGCACTTTGGAAGGCCAAGGTGGGTGGATCACTTGAGGGTCAGGAGTTCAAGACCAGCCTGGCCAACATGGTAAAACCCTGTCTCTACTAAAAATACAAAAATTAGCTGGGCACAGTGGTGGGCACCTGTAATCCCAGCTATTTGGGAGGCTGAGGCAAGAGAATCGCTTCAACCTGGGAAGCGGATGCTGCAGTGAGCAGAGAACACGCCAATGCACTCTAGCCTGGGCAACAGGGTGAGATGCGGCCTCAAAAACAAAAAACAAAAAACAAACAAAAAAATACCCACTCATGTTTGAGCAAACAAAGAGGTAAATATACACACATTCCACTACACAGATCTGTACACTTGCAAGCACATTGACTAGAGATACACAAGTGGTAGAAGTAGTGAATGTAATTAAAAAGGGTCTACCTGGTCACTTTTATGGGTAAAAATAGTAAGACCCAAAGATATTATTCTGTGCTAATATTAAAGAATCTATAGATTAAAATTCATTGGCTTCAAGTAAAAAAGGTCATATTTGTTTTCAGGCCCGAATGTGTAAAGCACTAAAATGAAGACTGTAGCTCTCTAAATGCCAGCTGAATACTTTCAGGTGGGGTGTAGAAGAATTTAAGGCAATCCAGTAGCTAAGATATTTCCAATTAAAGTTTTATCTTTCAGAGCATGCTCTATTTCCTTCTCTTCAATCTTGAAAAACACCTGTAAAGAAAAGAAAAGGATTTTTCACACTGGAGAACTCATAAAAGCAAAGTTGTCAGTACACAAACTTATACCATATTAAACTTTTCTCACAAAAGACAAAAGTCTCTACTACTTTTTTTTTCCAATGGCCTGAAAAAATATTCATATCACACTCCCATCTTTATACACCTTAAACCTTACCTAACAAAAATCGACTTGTTTAACTAATTGTGGTCATCTCGTTTAACAATAAACCTTTACTTTAGCATCACTCTACAAAATAGAACAATTAAAAACACTGTCATAAAAAAGCAGTTGTACCTTTGTCAAACGGGTTTCCTTGTTTCTCTTTAATCCTAAAATGCCCCTGGCTTCCAAGAGCCCTGAAAGTGACAAACACTCTGACTGGTCCACAGCTGCCACCTGCTGTTTGCGACAGACTTTACTGTAGGCTTCATATAACTGGTAGGAAACAAGGGAGAACAAATGCTGCTTAAAAGTCACATTGCTTATAGCCTTTAATCATTTAAGAAACCTGAGTCTAGGTTTGCAAAAACTTATCTGAATATCCTATTTCTTCCTCTTTTCAATAAAATCCTTGATCCCAGCACTTTGGGAGGCCGAGACGGGCGGATCATGAGGTCAGGAGATCGAGACCATCCTGGCTAACACGGTGAAACCCCGTCTCTACTAAAAATACAAGAAAATTAGCCGGGCGAGGTGGCGGGCGCCTGTAGTCCCAGCTACTCGGGAGGCTGAGGCAGGAGAATGGCGTGAACCCGGGGGAGCGGAGCTTGCAGTGAGCCGAGATCGCGCCACTGCACTCCAGCCTGGGGCACAGAGCAAGACTCCGCGTCAAAAAAAAAAAAAAAAAAAAAAAAATCCTTGAACAGGCTTCTGTAGATATTCCCGAAAACCTATACAGTAATGTAGGAAAGGGGCTTTATGTATTTCATAGAGAGATGCAGAAATGAAGGGGAGTATGGGGAAAAGATTAATGGTAAACTCTCAACCACAACCCAAGGGAAATAGGTGCCTTTTATAGAGTACCAGTATTAATTCTTACTGTTAAAATCCATTTTAAATTCATATCAGCTGAAATATCATAGGCCTTTTGGAAAATACCTGCTCTGCAAAGCAGATTCTGATCTCTACCTCCGCTCTGTCTGCTCCATCCCAACTTACCTTCCCCAGAGTGACCTCTTTGATTTTCAACTGCCTGATCAAGAGCATCAAAGAGCAGACCAAGATCTTCTGCTGAAGAGGGAAGGAATCCTGTGCTCCTTGGCTCAAGGTCATCCTATTACCATCAACTTCTGACATGACTTGGGATATGTGAATAAGACCAACCCTTTTGGGAATCAGAGGCTCAGAAGGTGATTTACCTATAAAGTAAATAAGTCAAGCTTAATTCGTTTTCTAAAATATTGTGTGTGTGTATGCATGATGAGACGGATGATACTAAGTTTGAGCTAAAGGAAATTCAAGTACGGTCACATGGTGGCAAAGCAGAGGTTCTCTCTAACCAGAGGCCAAAGGATGAGAGATAACGCTATTCTCTTAAAGATGTCAAAATAATGTGGGATGACTTGAAAAGTAGGGTTACCCTTTCTCTGGGCCAAATAGTGAGCTATTTTGTCTTATGGAATGTAATTTAATGTCAGAGGGACAAAACCCACCTCATGAAAGGACCAGAGAACTATTTTTTTTTTTTTTTTTTGGCGGGGGGGGGGCGCGGGGGCGGGGACAGGATCTCTGTCGCTCAGGCTGGAGTGCAGTGGCACTAGCATGGCTCACTGCAGCCTTGGCTTCCTGGGCTCAAGTGATCCTCCCGTCTCAGCCTCCTGTGTAGCTAGGATTACAGGTGCATGCCACCACGCCAGGCTAGTTCCTAGTATCTCAGAGGTACAGAATAACAGAACCTTGAAGCAAATATGGTGACTGTGCTTGGTAATTAATAAAGGAAAGAAAAAAAAAGGCTGGGTGCAGTGGCTCATGCCTGTAATCCCGGCACTTTGGGAGACCAAGGTGGGCAGATCACCTGAGGTCAGGAGTTTGAGACCAGCCTGCCCAACACAGTGAAACCCCGTCTCTACTAAAAACACAAAAAATTAGCTGGGTGTGGTGGCGGGTGCCTATAATCCCAGCTACTTGGGAGGCTGAGGCAGAAGAATCACTTAAACCCGGGAGGCAGAGGTTGCAGTGAGCCGAGATCGTGCCACTGCACTCCAGCCTGGGCGGGAGAGTGAAACTCCGTCTTGGAAAAAAAAAAAAAAAAAAAAGGCCGGGCACGGTGGCTCAAGCCTATAATCCCAGCACTTTGGGAGGCCGAGACGGGTGGATCACGAGGTCAGGAGATCGAGACCATCCTGGCTAACACGGTGAAACCCCGTCTCTACTAAAAAAAATACAAAAAACTAGCTGGGCCTGATGGCGGGCGCCTGTAGTCCCAGCTACTCGGGAGGCTGAGGCAGGAGAATGGCGTAAACCCAGGAGGCGGAGCTTGCAGTGAGCTGAGATCCAGCCACTGCACTCCAGCCTGGGCAACAGAGCCAGACTCCGTCTCAAAAAAAAGGAAAAAAAAAAGTTGGAAAATTCCCTAATATTTTGGATCAAATGAGCGGCTAAATGTGGCGAGTGAAGTCACTGCCATATCAGTCCTTCAGAGGGCTTCCCCAAATGACCTTTGAGGTTTGGTTCACTTGCCCAAGCTGATCAGCAGTAGAGCAACACTTGAGAAAATGTCACTAGATATGCTAGCAGATAGCACCATCTTTTTTTTTTTGGTATTTTTTGTAGAGATGGGGTTTCATCATGTTGCCCTGGCTGGTCTTGAACTCCTTAGCTCAAGCAATCTGCCCTCCTCCGCCTCCCAAAGCACTGAGATTATGGGCGTGAGCCACCATGCCTGGTCAGATATCATCATCTTAATAAAAGCCAGGGGTTGGGAAATTGCCAATAAGCTGCATAAGACTATATCCTTAGCAAACTACTGCAGGAACAGAAAACCACATACCACATGTTCTCACTTCTAAGTGGGAGCTAAATGATGAGAACACATAGACACACAGAGGGGACAACACACACTGGGGCCTATAGGAGGGTAGAGGGAGAGGATCAGGAAAAATAACTAATGGCTTGAGCTCAGGAATTCATGACCAGCCTGGGCAACAAGGTGAAACCCCATCTCTACTAAAAATACAAAAAAACAGCGGGGTGTGGTGGTGTGTGCCTGTGGTCCCAGCTACTCAGGAGGCTGGGGTGGCAGGATGGCTTGAGCCTGGGAGGAGGAGGTTGCAGTGAGCCAAGATCACGCCACTGTACTCCAGCCTGGGTGACAGAGCAAGACCCTGTCTCAAAAAAAAAAAAAAAAAAGACTATGGCCTCATCGTTTTGGAGATGCATGAATTTCAAGACAGAGAAACGTGCTCTGTAACAACCTTTGCCTGAAGTTACTTCCTGAAATCACTTGCAGTTGTCCCACAACAATTTACTTCTATAATATTATATTACCACAAAGGGATGCTGCAGAGGACTAATGGAGAAACCGGAGATCACAGATCAAGTAAAAGAATCTTAAAACTGAAAGGAATTTAGAAGTCTATTTTTACTCCCTACCCAATGGCTGAGTCCTCTCTAAAACAATCTCAACAAGTGGCATCTATCCAGCTTTTGTCTGAATATCTTCAATGCTGGAGAACCCACTATGTTTCAAGGAAGCCCAGTTAGTTCTAGTTATTAGAAATTTTCTTCTTATATTTAGTTGAAGTCATTCTCCCTGTAGCTTTCTGGAGCCATTAAAAGCCAATCTCAACCTGGTATGGTGGCTCATGCCTGTAATTCCAAAGCTGTGGTAGGCTGAGGCAGGAGAATCACTTCATCCCAGGAGTTTGAGACCAGCCCGGGCAACATAAGGAGACTCCTCCACCCATTGACTCTACAAAAATTTTAAAATTAGCAGTAGCTGGAGCTGGGGAGGCTGAGGTGAGAGGACTGCTTGGGCCTGGGAGGCTGCAGCTGCAGTGAGCCATGATCGCACCAGCCATAATTGCACACTGGACTCCAGCCTGGGAGACAGAGCAAGATTTTGTCTCACACAAAAAGAAAAAAGAAAAAAAAAAAAAAAAGAAAGAAAAAGAAAAAAGCCAATCCCACACAAACCCGAAGTCAAAAGATAGAACTTACAACCTCTTTACCTCTTTTAATTATGTTTGTGCTAGTGGTGCTCACAGGGGCCAGTGACAAGCCTAAATGTTACTGGTGGGGAAAAAGGAGGAAAAGAGAATAATCTGAAAAGTTGAAATGGAAGAAGAAACCAGTATCTAAGTCTATACATTGGTATATATTGCCTACTATTAGCCTAAGCACTATTTTTGGCCACTTCTGAAATATTTTTATTTTATTTCAGCAAATTGATGAAAAAAAGAAAGAATTTCATGCAGAACTATAATGCCAGAAACAATTTTACTAACTCCCAGCTAGTGTAGGAGTGAAAAAGAAACAATCAAATCTTACTATTCTGTTTATAAAGACTAACACTGGATATCAAATACTGTAAGATATGTAGTTCATGGCCATTTTACATTTGCCACAACCGAAACAACAGGGCTGAGGGAATGGAAAATTAGTTTTGTCATTTGTGATAGCGTGTAGCTTACTGTAGCAGTATGATATTTTTACCTCTACCCTCTAGACTTCTTTAAAAGCTTGAGATATCTATCCCAAGTTGAACTTATAATTTTTCTTCTTATTATTCTTTTGAGACAGAGTCTCACTTTGTTGCCCAGGCTGGCAGTGCAGTGGCACGATCTCAGCTCACTGCAACCACTGCCTTTCCGGCTCAAGTGATTCTCCTGCCTCACCCTCCCAAGTAGCTAGGACTATAGGCACACGCCATGCTTGTCTAATTTTTTTTTTTTAACTTTAAGTTCTGGGATACATGTGCAGAATGTGCAGGTTTGTTACATAGGTATACATGTGCCATGATGGCCTGCTGCACTCATCAACCCCTCATCTAGGTTTTAAGTCCCGCATGCTCTCCCTCCCTTTGGCCCTCACCCCTGACAGGCTCCGGCATGTGATGTTCCCCTCCCTGCATCCATGTGTTCTCATTGTTCAACTCCCACTTATGAGTGAGAACATGTGGTATTTGGTTTTCTGTTCCTGTGTTACTCTGCTGAAGAATGATGGTTTCCAGCTTCATCCATGTCCCTAAAAAGGATATGAACTCATATTTCTAATGGCTGCAAAATTTTTAAAATTTTGTTGTAGAAACAAGGTCTCACTATATTGCCCAGGCTGGTCTCACAATCCTGGGCTCAAGCGATCCTCCCGCCTTGGCCTCCCAAAGTGCTGGGATTACAGGTGTGAACCACCACACCTAGCCTCACAATTCTTTTTTTTTTTTTTTTTGAGACGGAGTCTCGCTCTGTCGCCCAGGCTGGAGTGCAGTGGCCGGATCTCAGCTCACCGCAAGCTCCGCCTCCCGGGTTTACGCCATTCTCCTGCCTCAGCCTCTCGGGTAGCTGGGACTATAGGCGCCCGCCACCTCACCGGGCTAGCTTTTTGTATTTTTTTAGTAAAGACGGGGTTTCACCGTATTAGCCAGGATGGTCTCGATCTCCTGACCTCGTGATCCGCCCGTCTCGGCCTCCCAAAGTGCTGGGATTACAGGCTTGAGCCACCGCGCCGGGCCTCTGGCCTCACAATTCTTTTTTTTTTTTTCTTTTTTTTTTTTTTTTGAGACGGAGTCTCGCGCTGTCACCCAGGCTGGAGTGCAGTGGCCGGATCTCAGCTCACTGCAAGCTCCGCCTCCCGGGTTCACGCCATTCTCCTGCCTCCGCCTTCCGAGTAGCTGGGACTACAGGCATCCGCCACCTCGGCCGGCTAGTTTTTTGTATTTTTTAGTAGAGACGGGGTTTCACCGTGTTAACCAGGATGGTCTCGATCTCTTGACCTCGTGATCCGCCCGTCTCGGCCTCCCAAAGTGCTGGGATTACAGGCTTGAGCCACCGCGCCCGGCCGGCCTCACAATTCTTTTACCCAATTCTCCCTTATTTATCAGGCTTTGCTTTCACCTATATTGAGACCTAAAGTGCACGCAACATAAGCACCTAGAGAGCTGATCCAACCTCATTGTCTACAAGTTTCATTTTTAGAGCTTGGAAAGAAAACTTACTCTGTCCCAGCCATTTACGCAATACCCTGGGAACTCATTTCCAGTAATGCATGAACTATAGTACTGGCAGGCAAGATTGAAATAAAGTAGATGAAACAGACTAAAAACACAGACACACACAAAAATGGGTGATTTTGGATTTAACTATGTTCATTTCATCTTTTTACCTCTTTCCTCAGAAAAGCTAAGCTTCCAGTTACAAAGGAAGACAAGAAGAAGATAAACTACTTACATTCAGACAGTGGTTTGAGAACAGTCTGGCTTTTGACATCTGACTCTACAATTTCAATAGCTCTCCTATAAAAAAAATTTCTAAAATTAATTTAGTGTGAGCCAAACCAAACACCATACCAAATCACCAGCCTCAAAAGCAGGCACATTAATGACTATTGCTTAAAGACTGCAACTATGAACAATGGTCATGTAGGCTAACATGGTTTAGCCTATACATATCCTATGTCTAACTTTAAAATTATGATGTTTTGTAATTTTAAAGCCCCCAAACAAAACTGGGTTATTTCTCAGATAAGGGGACTTAATTGCTTTGAAATAATTCATGGATGTCAGATTTGAGAAACTTCAATGGTTTCCTCCTAATAGATGCCAAGTAGGTCATCATACATTAAGCCAATGATAACATCTTGGATGAGGAGAAAATGTCATGGGTAGGAGAGAGGATATGTAGTGTGGGTGACTAACTAAAGGGAGCCAGCACCACCCATACACACCAAACCTAAAAGAGATATCTTCAGTTATAAATACATAGGATATGTGTAGGCTAAACCACCCTAGCCTACATGACTATTGCTCATAGTTGCAGTCTTTACCCAAGTAGTTTGCTGATTAGGGGAAACTTTCAAATTCAGGATCATGCAATCTAGCAATAGGAAGAGCTTACTCTCCCACTGCTCTCTCCAAAGTACTTTGCCCACAGGAAGCCATAAGCCAGACCTGGGTCTTCTGCATGGCAATAGGGGGAGGTTGGACCAGCAGGCCAGCACAGCAAGTATCATTTTAATGGACCCAGCGTCCCTACTGGGAAGGAAGAAATTTCATCAGTCAGCACAGAGGCCTTTCCCCAGCAGGAGGGGCAGGGGGATGGGAAGGGAGAAAGAGGTCTGGAGTACAACTATGGGGGACCACCAACTGGAGGGAAGAAGGGGTGCTCACAAAAGGAAAGGAAGGAAAAAAGTCTAAAGGCAAAGATGGTTCAGGTCCATAAATAAACCTGCTTGAGACCAGCTAATGGAAAAGTAAACTGGAGTCTTTTTTAATACAAATGTAATTAACCAATCTATAATCACCACAGGGAGTGCCAGCAACATCTCATTTGTTTCTCCCTCTGTAGGTAATGGACTGATAATGTTTCAGACATTAACACGGTGGAAATCCAGAGCTCCCCACTGAGAAACAAGTCCTCCTTTCTGAGCGTAAAAAAGTAGCAGAACAGAGCCTCTTAAGCCACATTCACTTGAGTTACATGAGACAATTAACAGCATTTCTTTTTTTTTTTTAATAAAAGGAGGCAACAGTGCCATAACTCACCTGCAAACATCTAGTGCTTTGCGAACATCTCCTGAAACAGCAGAGACTTTGCGGGCACAGAATTGAATTGCAGCATTGTCCAGAACCTGATCTCTAGATACCTTAAGACAAGACATAGAATATGACAGTTTGAACTATAAGATTCTCCCTCGGTAATTTATGTCCCAAGCATAAATATTTTCACATTTAACCCTAAACTTGATTGGCAACTCCTTAGGGTCAAAAAGATGCCTTTTCTTCTCATAAATAATGGAGATATTTGAGAGTTTTCACACATTTAAGCATTTTGTATGGATGTGGTAGAAGTTCATAAATGGAAAAAAAGCAATCAGAACTGAAATTAGCAAAAATAAAATATCTATTTAGTTACTTTCAACAGAAAAAGTTTTTTCATAGGCCCTATTTTTTAAAAGTCATTAAAGAAAGCACTTGAGGCCGGGTACAGTGGCTCACACCTGTAATCTGAGCACTTTGGAGGCCGAGACAGGCATATCACCTGAGGTTAGGAGTTCGAGACCAGCCTGGCCAACATGGTGAAACCCGAGCTCTACTAAAAATATAACAATTAGCTGGGCGTGGTGGCGGGTGCTGTAACCCCAGTTACTCGGGAGGCTGAGGCAGAAGAATTGCTTGAACCCGGGAGGCAGAGGTTGTAGAGAGCTGAGATCATGCCATTGCATTCCAGCCTGGGCTACAAGAGCAAAACTCCATCTCAAAATTCCTCTAACTCCTGATTTTATTTCAACACTGAGACATCCAGTAAATGAATGAAGCAGAAATTCACATAAAAATGTTCTCTCTATGGTCCACAGGAACTTCTTGCTCCATTAATAAAGCAATTAAGGCAAAAATATTTTAAAACTATTGTTAAATTTTCCTAGCACAGGTGATCCAAGAAACACATAATTTGGCAAAATAGTTGGCACTGACCTGAGTAAGTCGATCTTGCAAAATAGCGACTATCTGATTTCTGGTATAAGGTGGGAAGTTCAACAGCTGTGGCTTACAGTTTTCTCTAGCTTGAAGCCTAGGCAGAATTCTATCTGTGAGATCCAGGGTATTAGCAATACCTAAGGAAGAGATCAACAACATTGATCATTGGTTACATTATCCTAAAGGGAAAACTAAATCCTCTGAAAGCTAAATAAATTTCCAGTTATAGAATCTAGCGTCTTAATGTTGCTTCACAGCTGTCTCCTACCCCATCCCAATTGATAAGATATATCTATTAGGTAAGATGTACCTAGTCATTTAACTTTCTATTTTGACAAGGCAGAAAGCTGGTTTAAGATAAAATAGTTGATAAATAAGCTGAATATATATTTAAAAAAAATACTTTAAAACCACCACGTAACATTAACAATTGAGCACTAACCAATCAGCACCAAGCGAGAATTGCTCAGCCATGGCCATTCAAATAGTGTGTACAATACATCCTGGCCTTTGCTGTCCAGTTGATCCATCTCATCCAATACCAACACACTATAAAAAGAGAAACAGTTAGAATCCATATTCACCTTCCTAACCCTCTAATGTTTGGTATAGGCTGTCTTCAGGTCACTTTCCTAAAGCTCAGACCAGTTTAAAGATCATAATCTATCCTATCTCTAGTTACTGTTACAAGGATACTCCACATCATCTACAAGTAATCCAATTTAAAATTAGGTGTATCTTCTTTCTCTTCCTTCCCTTTAAGCTTATGTAACTATCCTTCAGAGAGCAAATATACAAAATGTACTTTTTATGGGCAACAGACCTTGCAGATTTTCACAGAGCAACATGAAGCAGAACAATACTTACATCATGGGGCCCTTGTCTGCAGTCATATGTTTTTCTAATTTCCTCATCATGTCCTTCCCAGCTGGCTTGGATACCTCTTCCTGACAAATCTCCTGAGCAATAGCTGGGAATACAGCCTGGGCACTCCTCAAGGACATGCAATTCAGCATGATAGTTTTAAAGCCTTTCAGTTCCTTCTGGAAAAAAAATGCAAACATGGTAGTTATTTTGGCCTCAGAAAATAAAGATCTGATAGAGCCTAAAATGTCTTTGAAGAGCTAACAGCGCGTAAGGAAGCTCTACTTTCATTTGGAAAGATTTAAACAACGAAATTACAAATGTCTTGTTTTAAAGAAACCTTCAATCTTCGAAACTTCTACTCTTTCTTTTCTTTTCTTTTGGAGACAGAGTCTCACTCTGTTGCCCAGGCTGAAATGCAATGGCACAATCTCAACTTACTGCAACCTGTGCCTCCCAGGTTCAAGTGATTCTCCTGCCTCAGTCTCCCAAGTAGCTGGGATTACAGGGATACACCACCACACCCAGCTAATTTTTGTATTTTTAGTAGAGATGGGGTTTTGCCCTGTTGGCCAGGCTGGTCTTGAACTCCTGACCTCAGGTGATCCACCCGCATCAGCCTCCCAAAGTGTTGGAATTACAGGCGTGAGCCACCACACCAGGCCTACTCTTTCTTAACTCTTTTTTTTCCTTTTTCTTTTGAAATGGAGTCTTGCTGTGTCACCCAGGCTGGAGTACAGTGGTGCAATCTCAGTTCACTGCAACCTCTGCTTCCCAAGTTCAAGTGATCCTCCTGCCTCAGCCTCCCAAGTAGCTGGGATTATAGGCACCTGCCACCATACCCGGCTAATTTTTTTTTTTCTATTATTGGTAGAGACAGGGTTTCACCATGTTGACCAAGGTGGTCTCGAACTCCTGACCTCAGGTGATCCGCCCACCTTGGCCTCCCAAAGTGCTGGGATTACAGGTGTGAGCCACTGTGCCTAGCCCTCTTTCTTAACTCTTAAAAACTAAGTGCTGGCCAGGCACAGTGGCTTACACCTGTAATCCCAGCACTTTGGAGGCTGAAGCAGGCCGATTGCTTGAGCTCAGGAGTTCAGGACAAGTCTGGGCAACATGGTGAAACCCTGTCTCTACAAAAAATTAGCTGGGCATAGTGGTGAGTGCCAGTAGTCCCAGTTATCCAGGAGGTCGAGGTGGGAGGATCACCTGAGCCCAAGAGGTCATGGCTGCAGTGAGCCGAGATCACACCACTGCACTCCAGCTTGGACAAGAGAGTGAGACCCTGTTTCAAAAACAAAACACCCAAATATCATTTACCAAGAGCATCATAATTCAGACTCTCAATGTACCTTGAGGTCTTGCAGAATCCGGCTTAAGCAGGCAGTTTTTCCAGTTCCAGGAGCACCAGAAAGGTAAAGGCTTCCAGCTTTTTTCCCACAGATGTGTTCCCTCAGGAAATTCCTGATGACATCCATCTCCCTTTCCCTGGCGGGCAGCCGATCTGGGACAGCTGTGTTCAGGACCAGCTTTGCTTGCTGGTAGCAAGTGCCTGTGCCAGACATAAAAGGTCAATTAGACACAACAGAAGGTGACTGAGAAGACCCACTGGGTGGTTCATTTGGAGTCATCAGCCTTGGTTACAATGGCTGCACTAACAGTTGCCATGGAAGAACAAACCTTCTTGCTTGAATAGTCTCACACATGCGGATTCTTTCTCCAATATGCATCTCTGCTCAGAATTTGTTGTGATCTCTTGACTTTTTCTAACTGAAGAAAGTATTTTGTTGTGGTCAACTTTGGCTTGTTCTCTTTTGCTAGGAGACTTAATTGTCAGCTGATTGTCAAATACCAGTCTTCGTCCTTTAAGTGTACGTGAGTGAGGGGGACCATTCTCTTTCTTGCCTTGCTTTGGTGGAGAACAAGGAGGTAAATGGGGAGTGTTGCATAGGTTGTCATCACCTGAAACATAATAAAATCAAAATGTAGTCAGTCATAGCATTGGATAGTAAAAGGATGTGCAAGACCTCTGCCTCTCCCAGAAAGAGGTGAATTTCTACCTTAGAACCACCAACATAAAATGCCTTCTCACTTAGCAGCAAATATTGGCCACCAGATGGCACCACTGATCTTACTACAGTAGTGCCCTTATCCACCGTTCTAGTTACCCTCAGTCTGAAAATACTAAATGGAAAATTCCAGAAATAAACAATTGACAAGCTTTAAATTGCATGCAGTTTAGTACCATGATGAAATCCCACACCATCCTACCAGAGACATGAATCATCCCTTCAGCCAGCATATCCACACTGTATATGCTATCCACCCACTAGTCACTTAGTAGCTGACTTGGTTATCAGATCAAAAACACAGTATACGTAGGGTTTGGTACTATCCTCAATTGCAGGCATCCACTGGGGGTCTTGGAATGTATCCCCCATAGATAAGTGAGGACTACTGCATTTAGTAGAAACCAAACGGGTTTTACCAGGATGAAATTGTAAGGCTGTTTTGAAACAGGTTTTCTCAATGTTGGCACCACTGACATCTTGAACCAAATGATTCTTCATTGTCAAGGAGCTGTCCTGTGCATTGTAATGTTTAGCAGCATCCCTGGCCTCTACCCACTATGCCAGTAGCAACACCCAGCTGTAACAACCAAACATGTCTCCAGAAACAACCAAATCACCCCTCCATTTAAAAACAAATGTTCCAAAACAAGAAAGAATTACCAACCACTGTTCTAAAGGACGGAAAATATCCAGCATGTCACCTTTTTGTTTTAATTTCACAAATATTGAGGTTAAATTTCATAATACCGTGTAACTACAAGGTAACTTAAAACACTGACAGAACTAAGTTCAGCATTAAGGAATTGAAGATCAGACCTATTAAGTAGTTCAGAAAGTGACCTCAGTAAGTGGCTTAACTCTGGAGTTTGGTAAGCACTTAGCAACCATTCTGAAAATAACTAAAATGAAGAGTAGTCTTAGGGTCAGGAGCGGTAGCTCACGCCTGTAATCCCAGCACTTTGGGAGGCCGAGGCAGGTGGATCACCTGAGATCAGGAGGTCAGAGACCAGATTGGCCAACATAGCGAAACCCTGTCTCTACTAAAAAAAAAAAAAATTAGCCAGGCGTGGTGGTGGGCGCCTGTAATCCCAGCTACTTGGGAGGCTGAGGCAGGAGAATCGCTTGAACCTGGGAGGCAGAGGTTGCAGGGAGCTGAGATCGCACCATTGCACTCCAGGATGGGAGATGGAGCAAGACTGTCTCAAAAAAAGAAAAAAAAAAGTCTTAACTGAACTTAGAAAGCTCCTTCAAAGGACACACATCTTACTGAGAAAAGAAAGGTCACGAGCTGCTAGTGAAAAAGTGATATAATGGATGGTTTACCCAGACGTTTCCTGGGGCTGAGAGGCAGGGCTTTTACACGAGGAGAACAGGTTACAGCTTGAACATTTGTCGGTTCTGGTTTGGCATCACTTGAGTTTTTAGTTTTGTTCAATGCCCGAGACAGCTTCTTTTTTGGAAAACTGATTGTAGCCTGTGCCTGGGATCGGGTTTGAGGCATGATGGCAGCACAGCTAGATTAAAAAAAAATAACAGGACAACTAGTCAATATGTGAAAGTGAAGAGAATAAATAAATTTATACTGATGATTAACACTTATTTCTTAAGTAAATTATGTTATCACAATATTTTAGCATTCAGTTTTGCTTCACATCCAAATCTATGCAAGAACAACTGACATTTGTTGTCTACCTACTACGTGGAAGCCGCTGTTATAAACACTTTAGGTACCAATTCGTTTAACAACTATCTTAAAGAGGTAGGTACTACTATTAGCCTTTATTTTACACATGAGAAAACTGAGATAAACAGTGGCCCAAAGTCACAGAAAAACAGGTATGTAACCCCAGGTATTCTGGCGCCAGAGCCCAAGTTCTTAACCAACTGAGCGATGCAATAAGAAGTTACCTGAAATAGGCCGGGCGTGGTGGCTCACGCCTGTAATCCCAGCACTTTGGGAGGCCGAGGCGGGCGGATCACCTGAGGTCAGGAGTTCGAGACCAGCCTGGCCAACATGGTGAAACCCCGTCTCTAGTAAAAATACAAAAATTACGGCTGGCCGCGGTGGCTCACGCCTGTAATCCCAGCACTTTGGGAGGCCGAGGCGGGTGGATCACGAGGTCAGGAGATCGAGACCATCCTGGCTAACACGGTGAAATCCCTTCTCTACTAAAAATGCAAAAAATTAGCCGGGCGTGGTGGCGGGCGCCTGTAGTCCCAGCTACTCGGGAGGCTGAGGCAGGAGAATGGCGTGAACCCAGGAGGCGGAGCTTGCAGTGAGCCGAGATCGTGCCACTGCACTCCAGCCTGGGCGACAGAGCGAGACTCCGTCTCAAAAAAAAAATTAGCCGGGCGTGGTGGCGGGCGCCTCTAGTAGCAGCTATTCGAGAGGCTGAAGCAGGAGTATCGCTTGAACCCGGGAGGCGGAGGTTGGAGTCAGTGAGCGGAGATCGCGCCACTGCATTCCAGCCTGGGCGACGAGAGCGAGACCCCGTCTCAAAAAAACAAAACAAAACAAAACAAAAAAACAGTTACATGAATTGATTTATATAGAACTTCTAATTCCCTCTCTCCAGGAACGCGGGGTGTCTTTATCACCAGTTCAGCCCAGCATCCGCCACATTTAGTCTCTTCTCTCCCAAGTCCTCACACTACAGTTCAGTCTTCCCTCAGTTCTCTCCGCCTCTGCACTCAGTCCTCATTCTAGGCAGCTCTCAACGCACCCCAGAATATTTCCTTCCTACAACTTTCAGCTCCTTCATACCACGCACAACTGCTATAACTACCCTGAGGGCACCTGCCCTTTCCCTGATCCTGACCTCAGACCGCCAGCGAGCTCAGCTCTTTTACCTTCACTTTACCTCGGGCCTCGCCGGAACCCGCAGCCTTCACGCAACTCCGCTGCCTCACAAACCCCAGGCCTCCTCGAGCAATCCTCTCCTTCCCACCTCCTCAGTGCAGGATCCTTCTCAAGTCTCTCACACGCAGGCTCAGGGACTCACCACCACAAGCCCCTGAACAAACTGCACACCGGCAGCAGCAAAATACAGCCGCGCTCGCGCCAAATTCGAATGGCCACAGTGTTCCCACCTCCAGCCAAAGCCCGGCCTCGCTTCTGATTGGCTGTAGTCACAGGCGCCGTTCGCCTTGTGCACCGCCTCTTTTTTTGCTTCCAATCCAGTAGAAGAGTTACAGCCAATGAGAGAGCCCCAAGTCTCAGCGTCACTGTGAGGCCATGACCACTGAACGGGTGGGAGGGACTCTACATCCGGGGCCTCGGTGGAAAGACGCGCGATCGCTGCAGGGCGATTCTGGGCAAGACGGGCCGGCCCCGCCGCAAAGCACGGTGGGAGGCGTAGTCTTTGCTGCCGCGCGACTCTACTTCCGCGCTCTTCCTTCGACTGGATGTGTCAAGATGTGGTTCCCCATCTCACTGCCGAACGCACCCATTTGCATCATCCTGATGGGCTAGATTTTCAGAACTGCTACATGATACCTACCGTTTTGGGTTCTGTGCACCAGGTATGATGCTAGGCACTTTACTTAATTCTCTAATGCTCAACCTCGCAAGGTACAAAGCAAACCTATATACAAGGTTAGAGGTCACAGCATCTTGGTGACAGCGAAAAGCCTAGGATCCAGATCTACTGATGGCTGAACTAGTGATTTTTTTGGTAAAGTTCTACACACCTATATAAAGAAAAACTATGCTTCATCATAGTATCTCTTGATTCGTGCTTCAAAGATGAGAAACAGCCAAATCTTTGCTTTTATTTCGTTCAACGTAAGAATATTATGTTCTGTGCACATTCTTACCATTAATCCACACATCGTGGGGAGAGAATCATGACCCCTTAATTTTAAAATCTTTTATGGCGAAACACCAGGGTTTCAGGGCCAGGGAAGACAGCTATATAGAAGAGGCAAGCTGAGTTTTTAATGAAAAATATAAATTAGCGCAGTAATTTGGAGGCCAGCTTCCAAAGCCAATAACTCATCTAAGCCTCAGGCTCCTTTCGAGGCCAGAACCCAATTCTAGGTGATGGTAAACATTTATCTTTTACCCCTCAGTAACAAATAAAATAGAGCCATAAAGCCTAGAAAGAGGAAAGCAACAATATTACGATCATCAGTTAATTGGTACCTAGTTCATGAAGAGAGGCAATATTGAGTGCTTAAGTGTATGCCAGGGACTGTGCTCAGTATTTTACCTACATCAGCTTATTAATCTTCACAAGCACCCCCACAAAGCTGGTGTTATTTCATTTTACAAATGAGGGAACTACAGTAGAGGGGAGTTGAGAAAACTTGCCCAAGGTCACACAACTAGTAAGTGGAAAAGCTAGAATTTTAACTCTGAACTCTGACAGAACATCAAACTCTTGACCACGTTATCATAGGGGGATGATTAGACAGATTCAGATTCTAAACAGGAAGAGATGGTGGAGTACATTTTGTGAAGGCTTTTTAGCAGCTGAAAACTCCAAAAGTGAAGAGAATGGGCTGTCAGGAATGGAGAAAGTTACCACACAATGGAAGCTTTTTTTCTTCTTCTTCTGAGACAGAATCTCATTCTGTCACTCATGCTGGAGTGCTCCACCTCCTGGGTTCAAGCCATTCTCCTGCCTCACCCTCCTGAGTAGCCAGGACTATAGGCACGAGCCACCACGCCTGGCTAATTTTTGTATTTTTAGTAGAGGGGGTTTCACTATGGTAGCCAGGTTGATCTCAAACTCCTGACCTCGTGATCCACCCACCTCAGCCTCCTACAGTGCTGGGATTACAGGCGTGAGCCACCGCTCCTGGCCACAATGGAAGATTTTAAAAGGACTAGATGGTATTTCTGATGTCTTAGTAGGACAACAGAACTCAGGAAGCAACCTTCACTGTTCATATTTTTATAACATGGGCATCTAAGAATTGCCCTTAATAACCTGAAATGGTAACGTGTGCACAGCCAGCTTTAAGGGGTGGTTATGGTAAACAACCTACCTCGGTTACAAGGAGAAAGCAGAGGCAGCTATGAGTACTTAGCATGCATATTGGAGCCTATGAAAACACCAGGAAACGGCTGGGTGCAGTGGCTCACGCCTGTAATCCCCACACTTTGGGAGGCCGAGGCGGGTGGATCATGAGGTCAGGAGATCAAGACCATCCTGGCTAACACAGTGAAACCCGTCTCTACTAAAATACAAAAATTTGCCGGGCGTGGTGGTGGCGGGCGCCTGTAGTTCCAGCTACCTGGGAGGCTGTGGCAGGAGAATGGTGTGAACTCGGAAGGTGGAGCTTGCAGTGAGCGCAGATCAGGCCACGCCACTGCACTCCAGCCTGGGGGAGAGAGCAAGACTCTGCCTCAAGAAAAAAAAAAAAAGGAAAAGAAAGAAAACACCAGGAAACGGCCGGGCGCGGTGGCTCAAGCCTGTAATCCCAGCACTTTGGGAGGCCGAGACGGGCGGATCACGAGGTCAGGAGATCGAGACCATCCTGGCTAACACAATGAAACCCCGTCTCTACTAAAAATACAAAAAAATTAGCCGGGCGAGGTGGCGGGCGCCTGTAGTCCCAGCTACTCGGAAGGCTGAGGCAGGAGAATGGCGTAAACCCGGGAGGCGGAGCTTGCAGTGAGCCGAGATAGCGCCACTGCACTCCAGCCTGGGCGACAGAGCGAGACTCCGTCTCAAAAAAAAAAAAAAAAAAAAACCAGGAAACATAGCAGTGGTCCAAGAAAAGCCTACAGGCGTAAATGACCACCGTGGAAGCAGGCAAATAATCACAGAATGTCAGGACTGAAAAGTTATCTACTTGAAGCTTTTCCTTTGCACTAATAATGATCCTCCAGCAACGTGATGGGTACACATCATATTGTTTCTTGCTTCTTGCTTCTTGTTTCTTGCGTTTGTTTTTGCTGTTTCCTGTGTCTGGAATGTCACTCACCTTCCATCTTCCCTGGCTAACTCTCATAAAGCCTTTTAATACCCTGCATAGGCTTCTCCTGGTAGTTATCCTGAAGTCTACTATGAGTTCCTTGGAGTCAAAGACCATGTCTTAGCCTTGCATAGTGGCATGCATCTGTAATTCCAGCTACTCAGGAGGCTGAGGTGGGAGGATCCCTTGAGCCTAGTTTGAGGACAGCCTGAGCAACATAGCGAGACCCCATCTCCAAACTGGAAAAAAAAAAAAAAAAAAAAAAAAATTTTTTTTTTTGACATGGAGTCTCACTCTGTCACCCAGGCTGGAGTGCAGTGGCGCAATCTCAGCTCACTGCAACCTCTGCCGCCCCCCCACCCCCGGGGTTCAAGCAACCCTCCTGCCTCAGCCTCCTGAGTAGCTGGGATTACAGGCGCCCATATTTTTAGTAGAGACAGGGTTTCACCATATTGGTCAGGCTGGTCTCGAACTCCTGACCTCAGGTGATCCACCTGCCTCAGCCTCCCAAAGTGCTAGAATTACAGGTATGAGCCACCATGCCCGGCAAAAAAAGACTTTTCATCTTCATAGACGCCTGGTACACAGTAAAGTGTACAATAAGTGCTTGCTGAAGGAATGGAAAGGACATTCTTGCCAAGTGGACATCTACCCTTTGCATAAACACTTGTGGCTGGAGAGCATATACTCCTTTAAGTCTCACACCCTTACGCCTAGGAGTGGAGAATGAATTCAATTATGTGTGAAAACGATCCAGACTGGGCTCCAGTGATGTCAGAGGCAAAGCATATCCCCAGTTATCCTCTGGGGCAGTCAGAATCCTGAGGTTAACATATTTCTAGTTCTAGTTCATTTTCCACAGTTCCTTTACCTCTCTTTGCAGAGTACTAGGAAGTTGGAGACAGGCAGCTTCCTTCCAGTGGGTCACTCAGTTCATGGTTAGATTGGGTTGGGAAATACTTAAGAGGCACATTCATGGCAAGCAGCTCTGCCTCAGTAATGGAGGGAGGAAACTAGTGTCCTTATCACCTGCTAACTCATACACAGTATCATGGATAAGGAATCAAATCACACTGGAAGAACCTGTCTGGTATCCTTTTGTGTGTGTGTGTAGACATACACACACACGTACTAGCAATACTATCACAATAAGACAGAATGAATTATAGGGTTAGGAAGTCGAAGGTCATTTAGGCAAACTCCATTTGCAGGCTATTTCAAATCGGAGGAACAATTCAATCAATAAACAAGTAGTTTATTAATCATATTAATAACAATGATGGGTCAAATAATCAGGGATTCAGCCCATCTGGGAAGTACAGATGAAAATGAAAGGAGTCCTTTTTTTCTCTCCTCCCTCCCTCATCCTCATAGGTTTTTATATCTAAATTATGTGAGAGTGATTCATACACACACCCATTATGAATCAGGAAGAGAAATAACTTCAAGACCTTTGCTAGTGATCAAAGTGCAAGTTAAGCTCATTAAGCCTTAGTGGTTATGATGTCAGCTGACCACAGTAAGGAGAGAGTGTCTGGTTGAATTTTTACACCTAAAGGCAAAGTTCAAGAAAACCAGCTAAGATTCAGCTTAAAAAGCAGTGAGGAAAAACAGCCAACACCCATATAAAAACAGATACACACATTCTGTATGCTTTGTCCCCACCCTTCTTTCCTTTAGCCTCAATTTGAGAATCTGCTGTGTAACACAGGTAGAAAGAATTGTAAGAGATTCAAGGAAAAGGTCACAAGGCCAGGAAGCCTCTTAGGTTCCCTGAAATCATGCGCAAAGGGGAGTTAGGTAGAAATATAAAACAAGGACTGGTTGGGTGTGGTGTCTCATGCCTGTAATCCCAGCACTTTGAGAAGCCGAAATGGGACGATCACTTGAGCCCAGGAATTTGAGACCAGATTGAGCAACATAGAGAGACCTCATCTTTACAATAAAATTTTCAAAATTAGCCAGGCACAGTTACACACCTGTGGTCCCAGCTACACAGGAGGCTTAGGTGGGAGGATCACTTGAGCTTGGGAGTTGGAGGCTGCAGTGAGCTATGATCACACCACTGCACTCCAGAGCAAGATCCTGTCTCAAAAAAATAATAAAAAATAATAAAAAATAATAAAATAAAGTCTATCAGAATCTCCCAGGAAGGGTAACTAGAACTCTAGAACTGTAATTTTTTTTTTTTTTTTTTTTTTTGAGTGCAGTGGCATGATCTCAGCTCAGTGCAACCTCTGCCTCCTGGGTTCAAGCGATTCTCCTGCCTCGGCTTCTCGAGTAGCTGGGACTACAGGCATGCGCTACGACACCGGCTAATTTCTGTATTTGCAGTAGAGACGGCGTTTCACCATGTTGGCCAAGCTGGTCTCGAACTCCTGACCTTAAGTGATCCACCCACCTTGGCCTCCCGAAGTGCTGGGATTACAGGCGCTGGACCATCACGCCCGGCCAACTAGAACTGTAATTTTCAAAATACAGCTGGAGGGGAGGAGAGAAGACCCTCAGGAAGCTGTAGATGAGTCTGCCCAAGTCAGCAGATCTACCTTTTCAAAAGACCTGGAATCAAACCACTACATTTACCCAAATTATGAGGCAAAGGTTTTCTCCCCTCTCTGTGCCACCACTTGAGGCGGTATTCCACACAAGAGTACACATTTTTCACTTTTTGTTTTTAAGCAAGGTTTAATTACACTGCACGGCATCCAGAAGAAAGAAATGTACCAAAGAATCCAACCTGAGACCAGATTATACATTTTAGAGGGGGGAAACAAATCAATGCTATTTGGGAGAGGGAGCACTGTAATCAGAATATAACTCCAAAATAAATCATACAATAAATTATTTTCCAAAAGAAATTGATCCACATACAGACAGATGCGCGCACACACACACACACACACGCACGCACACATGTCATTCTAGTCATTTATTCAGTGTTGACTGTGACTTCCATGCAGGGCACCATGAGAAAGGACAAAGATTAGACATGAGAAAAGAAGGCTAGGCCCCCTCTTGCCACCAGTGGAATGAGATTTAAGACAACTAGGGAAGGAACCCACCAAGTTGCCAGAAACAAGAGTAGAAAGAAACAGCAGTTATCAAGGAAGATTTTAATTGCTTCAAAGAGGGAGAGGAAGAAAGCACAGAAATCTAACACAAGTAAAGGCACAATGAATGTGGAGTTGAATGGAACCAAACCCTCCCTTCAGTTAATCTTTTTTTTTTTTTTCATGTGGTTTTGATGGTGGTTGTAGTTTTGTTTTGTTTTGAAGAGATGAGCCTTCAAGGCAGAGTTGTAATGGCCCTCCTCTCTCCCCTCCCATTCCCAAAATTAGGATAGCTTAACAGAAAGCCACCTTGACCACATGGCCAGGGACTGAGATTCAATGGGGAAAAAAAGACTGTAGCTGGAATGTGAAGAATTTGATTTGCAGTTGATTGCAGGATGGGTTTCCAGAAGGATAGACAGCTCAGTGTAGTGCCATCATAGGGCCTCAGATGCCCACACTCCACCCCCAGAGCTTCGTAAAAGGGAAGGACCCTGGAGTCGCCCTTCTCTCCCACCCCCATAAGCACTCAGCCTACAGATTATTTCAAGTGATCAGGAGAATTAAAACACACCCCAACCCTGAGTTGCTCTGTAGCAAGTCTATTTAAACTTTTTTTCTCACCTCTCCCTGGAGGTAAATCTGGGTTTCAAGTTGGGAAGCCATGGGGTGAGGCAGTTCCCCAGTGCAATGGCCGGTGACGAGTATCCTTGCCGCTGCCAGTTAGCAGGGCTGGGATGAGCTCCTGGAGACAGCAGCCTCACATCCATCAGCTAGGGTAGCCCTAGGTTCTCACTCTGTTGGCCTAGGCTGTGAAAATGATGGGGCTCTGCAGCTGGAGCAAATCCCCATGACAGAGAAAATCACACCTGGAATATCAAAGTGCTTTGGTCCAGGTTCAGTGACCAGAGAAGGGGAAGAGGGACATCTAGCTCATTTAAAAGACTGGAGGCCACCGCCCTGCTTCCCACACAGGGCAGTAAGAAACAACTATAAAGTTTTTCCCATTAGGGAAGAACATCACAAAACCAAACCCATACAAGGGCTTTTAACACAGCTTCCTGGTGCTTAGCTGGGAAATGTCTCTTCCTTCTGCGGGGGGACAAGGGAGTTAATGGGACTGGGCAACAGCCTCAACATGAGACCACCCAATCTTCCATGGAAGAGACGACATTCCCACAAGCAGATAAAAAGAGCAGTTTAAAAGGTGAGGAGTTTTAGTGCTCTTGTAGCCAGCCCACCTTAAACCCCATATTAGAAGCTTTTTACAACATAGAAAGTAGACCGATAACTATGCAGATCACATTCCCATCTTCAATAGTAAATATACATAGTAATAAATCTATTATTAACAGCGGGACCAAATAATGTATAAGGCAAAGACACTGAAACAGGTGTTGTATCATCAACATGCTCTGAAAAAAACCCATCTGACTAGATCTAGACCCAGGCCTTTTTGCATGAGGCGGAGACAACAAGTACACAATCAATATCCATGTGACACAGTCCAAGTGCTGAGGAATTTGAGGGGCAGCGGGCCATGGGGAGGAAGGTATCAGCCCCAGTGAAAAACGGAGGTTTGGCTTTACTCGTGATATTTTGATGCTCTGTGTGAGTAAAGGAGGGAAAAAAAAAAAAGACACTTTGATAACGTACAAAAGGCATCGACTCCCATTTCAAAAATAAATGGGAAGACTTCACAGTCAAAGTTTAGTCACTTGTCAGTATCTGCCCTGGAACTCTGCTGCAGTATGAATTCTTATACTCTCTCCTTTTCCCTCCACTAGCATCCCCTCTCTCAGTTCTGTTTTTTTGTTTGTTTTTTGAGACGGAGTTTCACTCTGTCACCCAGGCTGGAGCGCAGTGGCACCATCTCTACTCACTGCAACCTCCGCCTCCTGGGTTCAAGCGATTCTCATGCCTCAGCCTCCCCAGTAGCTGGGACTACAGGCACGTGCCATCATGCCCAGCTAATTTTTGTATTTTTAGTAGAAACGGGGTTTCGCCATGTTGGACAGGCTGGTCTCGAACTTCTGACCTCAGGTGATCCACCCGCCTTGGCCTCCCAGATTGCTGAGATTACAGGCGTAAGCCACCAGGTCCGGCAGTTCTGTTTACTTAAGGATGCTAGGGATACTTCTGGGAGATAACCGCTAACAGATTAGAAAGAGGAATGATATATAAAAAATTATTGGGAAAAGTTTGGTGACAGACCTAATCATGGTCTGTCCCAGAGTTAATGTGGTCTAGGGGATGGCAAAGGACAGCAGACCCCATACACATTACCCCTGCTGAGCCCTCCCTCACCTAGCACTGGGGAGACTTGGGTTTCACCTGGCACCATGCACAGATCTCTAGCCTGTAATCCAATCAACTGGAAAGGTCCCTAAGACAGTTTAAGCCTGTGATGTGTGTGATTAAATTTTTAAGCTAATTTTCCCCATCCATTTCAAAGAGTAGCCATGGTCTCCTTGCTCTCATGCCACGCTCTGAACAGCCTCTACACGTAGCAACAGTTGTAGAAAACCAAAGCATCTGGTGTGTCAAGCCCAGAAGCCCCATCCTGCTGTTGGAAAAAAAGAAGTCCTCATCCAATCAGCCAACGACAGTTCCTACCTAGACTGGGGACCTCCATTTTTCTCTGTGCTCTTTGGGATCTGGAAGACAAAGAAACAACCTATGGCTGGCTGCCAAGGAAGATCTACTGAACTGAGGCAAAACTCAACAAAGTCTTTGTGCTTCCTGGCATAGAGGAGTATCTGAATATCCTCATAAGCCTCTGCTCACTTCTTCACCCTTCTGTACTCTGCTGTGTTAAATCGTGCAGTCCTGGGAAGGCAAGGGTGGTAGAGAAAGGAACAGGAAGAGTCTGCTCAGTCAGGTGGGCTGTGAACTTCAGTACATGCAGGACTTAAAAGTCCTTTGCAGCGCCACAAAGCCAGTTCCTTCCATGAGGGGCTTCAACCTGCCCTTCTTTGTTATCCTGGAGCACCTTCCAGGGGCTGAAGGACAGAAAGAGCCACTGACAACTTCGGGGCCAGTCAGAAAAGACTGAGGCAGACTCAAGATTGAGGTTAAGGCCTAGGCCCATGCCCTATCTTCCTCTCTCCCACCAGAGGTTTTTGGGGTTTGTGAATCAGGAATGAATGATGCCCTCCACAAAAAGTGACATTTCCTTCGAGGGCATGGGTGGTAAGGGGGAGGAAAAACATCCCTCAGCCTAGCACCGTGAAGCAGTGGGGTGAGGGGTCCCAGAGGGTTCAAATGGCTCCTGGTCCCTTTGCTGCAGAGAACTGACTAGTTCTAAAATGGTCCTCAGTTTATTTCACCCTCTCTTTTTATTAAATGTTAAGTTCAACTGATTAGTATTTAGTGTTTATATCCAATTTATCCCTGGGGTGGTGGGGGCAGGCAGCAGGTAAGAACAAAAACAAAATACCCCTAAAATAAAGCAGACCCAATTCCTTGCCCTTTCTCCAAATATGACCTTTAAAACAGATCACCTCTTGGCAAACTCCTTTCTTGCTTCACTAAAAATGCTCCCCTCCCACCCATAAGTCCTGGTCATGTCAGCCTCCTAAATGATGAAATATAATATACCTGCCAAGCTTCCCCTACCGTGGACAGGAGAAGGAAGGAGTACCATTCCCCACCCTGCCCCAACAGTGAGTTAATTCATCACAACAAGGCACCTTTCCCCAAGAGGAAGGCAGGAGACACGGAAACTTGTTCCTCATGTGGCTTAGCAGGGCTTGCTGGAGGAAGGATGGATGCAGGGTTTGAGATCCTACTGTCAATATAAAGAGTCTGATCACCAAATCCAGAGACGAGATGCATAGATGGAGGTGAGCTGGGAGGACACTTGGAGTCTAGGGGTTGGTTGCATTGGAGAAACATGTTAGGAGCTCTCATGCGGGTTTCAGGGGAATGGAAGGGACCATCTGAGAAGAAGAGAAGGTCCATCCTTTTCCTGAGGAACAGGACCAAGCCAGGCTTCACCTGAGAATGGGTGGCAGAGGTGGGGCTCCACGGGCAGCTGAAAAAAAACAAAATAAAAACCACACACATACAGGTCACCCACCAGAATCGGAACAACCCACACATTTCTAAAATGAAAGACAGGTTCTTTAAGCTAATCTTTAAAATCTGGGGACTAAGTTTTATTGTTGTTTTGCTTAAGAAAATGAAGATGAGAGGCCAGGTACAGTGGCTCACGCCTGTAATACCAGCACTTTGGGAGGCCAAGGCAGGTGGATCACCTGAGGTCAGGAGTTTGAGACCAGCCTGGCCAACAAGGCAAAACCCAGTCTCTACTAAAATTACAAAAATAATCCAGGCATGGTGGCACATGCCTATAATCCTAGCTACTTGGGAGGCTTAGGTAGGAGAATCACTTGAACCTGGGAGGCAGAGGTTGGGTTGAGCCAAGAACTGTACTCCAGCCTGGGCGATGAGAGGGAGACTCCATCTCAAAAAAAAAAAGTCAATGAAGATGACAAGAAGCAATTTTTTTTTTTTTTGAGACGGAGTCTCTCTCTGTCGCCCAGGCTAGAGTACAGTAGTGTGATCTTGGCTCACTGCAACCTCCACCTCCTGGGTTTAAACAGTTTTCCTGCCTTGGCCTCCCGAGTAGCTGAGACTACAGGCACCTGCCACCACACCTGGCTAATTTTTTGTATTTTTAGTAGAGATGGGGTTTCACTGTGTTAGCCAGGATGGTCTTGATCTCCTGACCTCATGATCCGCCTGCCTCAGCCTCCCAAAGTGCTGGGATTACAGGGGTGAGCCACCGCGCCCAGACTAATTTTGTATTTTTAGTAGAGACAGGATTTCACTATGTTGGTCAGGCTGGTCTCGAATTCCTGATCTTGTCATCCGTCCACCTCGGCCTCCCAAAGTGCTGGGATTATAGGTGTGAGCCACTGCGTCCAGAGAGAAGCAAATTGTAACTCAAGAAAACACACAAATTCTACATTTTATGCAATTATGGAAAAACTTTTTTATTATTCTCACCTCGGTTTGTTTTGCTGGGATATATCCTCTGAAAGTGTTTATATTCTTCTGGAGCAGGAAAGTCTTCTACTGGATGGAAGGAATACTTTGACTCAAAATCATCTGCAAAAAGAACAGAATATTAATTCCTATCATCCTTGCTTGTGCTCCCAAGGCCTCTGACCACTTCAACCCTCCCCACTTACTAATCTCTCAGGCACTCTGAGGTACCGTGAAGACCTACTGCGCCACCAAACTAACGACCCTGAGAACAGCAGCAGCATCACCCCACGCGCCTTGCATGCACAGAGCATGTATTCGAAACCTCTCTGTACTAAGTAGTGCATCTTTGAGCTCATTTTTTTTATATATATATATATTTTTAACACTCTCACTCTGTCACCCAGACTGGAGTGCAGTGGTGCCCACCACCTCGCCCGGCTAGTTTTTTGTATTTTTAGTAGAGACGGGGTTTCGCCATATTGCCCAGGCTAGTCTCGAACTCCTGAGCTCAATCTGCCCACCTGACCTCCCAAAGTGCTGGGATTACAGGTGTGAGCCACCGTGCCTAGCCTGAGCCGATTCTTTAAACCTTTCCATCAAGTCAGACACAGAACAGGACAGGAGCCCAGTTGTTTGCATGGTAGCAGGAAGAAATATAATTCTTTCTGAATTAGCAGAAAGAAATTTTTTTTTTGAGATGGAGTCTCACTCTGTTGCCCAGGCTGAGGTGCGGTGGCGTGATCTTGGCTCACTGCAACCTCCACCTCCCAGGTTCAAGCAATTCTCCTGCTCAGCATCCCTGGGATTACAGGCGTGCACCACCACACCTGGCTAATTTTTGTAATTTTAGTAGAGACAGGGTTTCACCATATTGGCCAGGCTAGCCTTGAACTCCTGACCCCAGGTGATCCACCTTCCTCGGCCTCCCAAAGTGCTGGGATTACAGGTGTGAGCCACCAGGCCCAGCCGATTCTGTGTTTTAATAACATCTTAGGGACTGTCGCCATGGCAAAACAACTGATCTAAATCCAGAAATCAGTAGAAATTAATTTAAAATGGGAATATTTGTCTATGGCTAGTGAGAGATATGAGCAGATAATTCCCTTTCAGCCCATGTTACCTTCACTTACATAGTTGGGACAGCCAACATGGCTTCTACTCCTATTTTCTATGGCCCCTCGATAAGAAGGCTCAAATTTTCTGTAAGTGTGGCTTGATCACATCCCAAAGGTTTCTACAATAAGGATATATCTTTAAAAGCAAAAACCCTGGCATGCCTAATAGGAATAGAACAGAACATGGAGGACAGGGGGTAAAGACAGCAACCATTAAAGAATCTAGAAGCTGGGCATGGTGGCTCATGCCTGTAATCCCAGCACTTTGGAAGGCCGAGGTGGGCAGGTAGCTTGAGCCCAGGAGTTTGAGACCAGTCTGGGCAACATGGCAAAACCTCATCCCTACAAAAAAAATACAAAATTAGCCAAGCATGGTGATGCACGCCTCTGGTCCCAGCCACTTGGAAGGCTGAGAGATGGGAGGATTGCTTGAGCTTGAGAGGTCGAGGCTGCGGTGAGCCGTGATTGTGCTACTGCACTCCAGCCTGGATGACAAAGCAAGACGCTATCTCAAAGAAAAAGAAAAAAAAAAAAGAATCTAGAGTGTTAGGCCTGCAAGGGACCTTACAGAGATTTTTTCCAGGGGTCCTCAACAGAGGGGTCTAACAATAGCCTCTGGACAACCTTTACTTATGGTTACATCCCAGAACCAAGGAATTGGAATCTCTTAGGTAGAGCCCCCCAACATTTATAATCTTGGAAAAGTTAATCTGATACACTTCTCATCTAGTCAACCTAATTTTACAAAATAAGGGAAGTGAGGCCCCAAGGAGTAATGTGACTTCCTCAAAATAACACTGCTAGTTAGTGGCTTTGGATTAATGTGTATGTTTTGGGTTTCGTTTTTTTTTTTTTTTTTTTTTTTTTTTTTTTAAGACAGAGTCTTGCTCTGTCACCAGGTTGGAGTGCAGTGGCACGATCTTGGCTCACTGCAACCTCCACCTCCTGGGTTCAAGCGATTCTCCTACCTCAGCCTTCTGAGTAGCTGGGATTACGGGGGCATGCCACGCTAATTTTTTATATTTTTAGTAGAGATGGGGTTTCACTATGTTGGCCAGGCTGGTCTCAAACTCCTGACCTCAGGTGATCTGCCTGCCTCGGCCTCCCAATGTGCTGGGATTACAGGTATGAGCCACCACACCCAGCTGATTTTTTTTTTTTTTTTTTGAGACAGAGTCTCGCTCTGTTGTCCAGGCTGGGGTGCAGTGGTGCGATCATGGCTTGCTGCAGCCTCAACCTCCCTGGACTTAGGCAATCCTCCTGAGTAGCTCGGACCACAGGCATGTGCCACCACACCCAGCTAATTTTTGTATTTTTCAGAGAGATGAAGTTTCACCATGTTGCCCAGGCTGGTCTTGAGTTCCTGGGCTCAAAGCAATCCTCCCACCTTGGCCTCCCAAAGTGCTGGGATTACAGGCATGAGCCACCGCACCCAATCCTTTTTTCTTTTTTTTTTTTTTTTTTGAGACAGAGTCTCGCTCTGCCGCTGGGGCTGGAGTGCAGTGGCCGGATCTCAGCTCACTGCAAGCTCGGCCTCCCGGGTTTACGCCATTCTCCTGCCTCAGCCTCCCGAGTAGCTGGGACTACAGGCGCCCACCACCTCGCCCGGCTAGTTTTTTGTATTTTTAGTAGAGATGGGGTTTCACTGTGTTAGCCAGGATGGTCTCGATCTCTTGACCTCGTGATCCGCCCGTCTCAGCCTCCCAAAGTGCTGGGATTACAGGCTTGAGCCACCGTGCCCGGCCAATCCTTTTTTCTTTAATATTTTTTGTTATTCTTTCTTCTTGTTTCTTTCCAGGCAATGTGACATGGGACTTTTTTTTTTTTTTTTTTTTCCCCCAAGAATTCCAAGGAGGGGCCGTGAGGCTGGGTGTGACGGCTCACATGTGTAATCCCAGCACTTTGGGAGGCAGAGGTTGGAGGACTGCTTGAGCCCAGGAGTTTGACAGCAGCCTGGGCAACAGAGTGAGACCCGGTCTCTATAAAAAATAATTTGAAAAAGTAATTCCAAGAACAATCAAATGTTTTGTTTTTGAAGAGCTAGAAAGGAACACTCCTTCCTAGGAGAATATGTAAGTCCTGTCTGAATAATCCTAAAGAAGATACAGAGTCTCTGACCTAAAAGCGAGCTACAGAAACTGATCTTTGGAGTGGCTTTAGAGTTAAGCTAGCATAATACTTGCTGATCTTACTTCAATCTATTCCAAAGCATCCATGCTTAGAATTCACATCAAGATAAGGAAGTCAATGAACACAGCCCGTAAGTCTGAGGATAAAGTCAGGAGGAGAACTATTGTGAACAAAGGATCCCATGTGGCCATTCCCGCTCTACGGTGGCCATCTGGCAGCCATGGCAGTGGAGTGGGTGAAGTCACCGCAGGAACCATGAGACTACAGATAGCTAGCTACTCACCCAAGAAAGACCGGACAGTGGTGATAGAATCTCTGTGGCCATTCCTCAGGGGTGGCGGAGGAGGAGGGGGTGGCCCAGCTGGCGTCCTTGAGGGTGGAGGTGGGGGCTTTCCTCGGCTCGGGGGTTCTGACCCATGCATTCGGTATGGTGGTGGGGGAGGGGGAGCATCCCGGGCACCATTTCGGATCACGGGTGGTGGGGGTGGAGGAGCTGCAATTAAAATCCAAAGTAGTTAGGTTTGGATGTGGAGATGGCAAGCGGTAGAATGACTTGAAACACATGAGCTAAAAGAATAACACGTCCTGGCCAGGCGCGGTGGCTCAAGCCTGTAATCCCAGCACTTTGGGAGGCCGAGACGGGCGGATCACGAGGTCAGGAGATCGAGACCATCCTGGCTAACCCGGTGAAACCCCGTCTCTACTAAAAAATACAAAAAACTAGCCGGGCGAGGTGGCGGGCGCCTGTAGTCCCAGCTACTCGGGAGGCTGAGGCAGGAGAATGGCGTAAACCCGGGAGGTGGGGCTTGCGGTGAGCTGAGATCTGGCCACTGTACTCCAGCCTGGGCGACACAGCGAGACTCCATCTCAAAAAAAAAAAAAAAAAAAAAAAAGGAATAACACGTCCCACAGACGCTCACAGTGCCTGGTCCCCCTTTGTCCTTATTACTTGAATAGTATCACCATTCTTCCAGATACCAATATTCAGAATAAATGTATGACCTTTTTACATTTCGTACCAGTCAGTCAAGAACTCTATCTGTTCTTGATTTTTTTTATGCTTTTCCATGCCTTCCTCCACAATTCTAATTCAAGTCTTCCTTATATTTAGCCTGTTCCACTGCAAAGCCTTCCGAATGTTCTCCTTGCTTCGTCTATTACCCCTCCAAATTCATTTTGCATAACACCAACTCACTAATCTCCCTAAAAACTTGATCCAATTTTTTCAAAGCCTTTGCACTGCCTAAATCATAAAGTCTGAAACCGTGGCTGGCTATGATGGCTCACGTCTATAATCCTAGCACTCTGGGAGGCCAAGGTGGGAGGAATTGCCTGAGCTCAGCAGTTCGAGACCAGCCTGGGCAACATGATGAAACCCCATCTCTACTAAAAATACAAAAAATCAGCCCAGTGCGGTGGCATGTGCCTGTAGTCCCAGCTTCTCAGGAGGCTGAGGCACAAGAATCACTTGAACCTGGGAGGTGGAGGCTGCAGTGAGCCCAGATTGTGCCACTGCACTCCAGCCTGGGCAACAGAGCGAGACTCCATCTCAAATACATAAGTAAATAAATAAATAAAGTCTCAAAGCCTTTGCTTACATAGTAACCTACCGTGCCTATCAGCCTGAGTTTGGCTTCTCCTCTTCCGTTCTTATTGCTAGGCTAGGTCAGGAGCCCTCTTCTGCACTTCCACTGCAGCTTGTGCGTACCTACCACTTGAATAGACTGTTATAATTATTTCTTCTGTGTACTCTTCCCCCAGTATACTGTGTACCCCTTGATGTCAGAGCAGTTCCTCCTTCTGGGTTCTCAAGTACAGCACACAGCAGGTGTTCAATCAATGTCTGCTGAATAAACTGAATTACATGCTTTGCTCTTGTGACTCCCCTCACAATATTCTGATATCCCCCCTTCCCTTACTACCAAATCCTCCCTATCCTTCAAGGTTCAATCCAAGTCCCATCTTCTCAAGGCTTTCCCAAAGCAATCCATTTTCTTCTGAGTCCCTCCACCTCTGCTCTCCCACAGCATATACAGGCTATGTCACTTACTCTAATATCAATGAGCGACTTTCAAAATATATACAGCAGATTCATTGTGGGAAGTTACAAATGTCCAGTAACAGTCTCATTGCTCAAACATTGCAAACACCTCTTTTGGAACTACCTCCAAAGCAAGTTTATCAGAGCTATAAACACTATTATATGATGGTCACATTTCATTTCTGAGGTCGTCCCACCACCAGTGAAAATATTTATACCTATGCCGGGCATGGTGGCTCACACCTGTAATCCCAGCACTTTGGGAGGTCGAGGCGGGAGGATCACCTGAGGTTGGGAGTTCAAGACCAGCCTAATCAACATGGAGAAACCCAGTCTCTACTAAAAATACAAAAATTAGCCGGGAGTGGTGGCGCATGCCTGTAATCCCAGCTACTCGGGAGGCTGAGGCAGGAGAACTGCTTGAACCTAGGAGGCGGAGGTTGCAGTGAGCCGAGATTGTGCCATTGCACTCCAGCCTGGGCAACAAGAGCAAAACTCTGCCTCAAAAAAAAAAAAAAGAAAATATTCATACCTGTGTCTGAATCTGCTTTTTGGTCATTTCCAAAAATCAAATTCACTCTTAAAAAATGAAAATTTGCCACTAAGTAGAAGGTAACGTCAAAAGCATGTGTGAAGACATGGCAATATGACTGGAATACAATAGATTCTAATGTGTTTAAGTTGTCTTACTCCTGTGCTCTGTATTAACTAACAATAATAGCAGCTACCATTTATTGGGTATCTATTATGTTCCAGGCATTTTAGGTGTATTAAATCTTTTTTTTTTTTTTTTTTTTTTTTTTTTTGAGACGGAGTCTTGCTCTGTCACCCAGGCTGGAGTGCAGTGGCCGGATCTCAGCTCACTGCAAGCTCCGCCTCCCGGGTTTACGCCATTCTCCTGCCTCAGCCTCCCGAGTAGCTGGGACTACAGGCGCCCGCCACCGCGCCCAGCTAGTTTTTTTGTATTTTTAGTAGAGACGGGGTTTCACCGTGTTAGCCAGGATGGTCTCGATCTCCTGACCTCGTGATCCGCCCGCCTCGGCCTCCCAAAGTGCTGGGATTACAGGCTTGAGCCACCGCGCCCGGCAGGTGTATTAAATCTTTAAAAAGTCTTATAGCCACACCTGCAAAGAATGTAGTATTATCCCCATTTCACAAATGAGAAAACTGGGACTCTCATTTGTCATTTTATTTGATCTGATTAAGGTCGCAGATCAAATAAAAACAGGCAAGGCACATGTCTGCTCTTTCTACTCTCCCACACTGCTTTTCATAACTCCCAGTATTCTGCATAGTATCTTTCCAACCAGATTTACAATTCAGTGGTTTGGAAGTGCATCTTTTGGTATCTGGGCCATGTTCAATTTTTTTTTTTTTTTTTTGAGACGGAGTCTCACGCTGTTGCCCAGGCTGGAGTGCAGTGGCGCGATCTCGGCTCACTGCAAGCTCCGCCTCCTGGGTTCACGCCATTCTCCTGCCTCAGCCTCCTGAGTAGCTAGGACTACAGGCGCCCGCCACCGCGCCCGGCTAATTTTTTGTATTTTTAGTAGAGACGGGGTTTCACTGTGGTCTCGATCTCCTGACCTTGTGATCTGCCCGCCTTGGCCTCCCAAAGTGCTGGGATTACAGGCTTGAGCCACCGCGCCCGGCCAATTTTTTTTTTTTTTTTAAAGAGACAGGGTCTCACTGTGTCACCCAGGTTAAAGTGCAGTGGTGGAATCACAGCTCACTGCAGCTTCAAACTCCTGGGCTCAAGTAATGCTCCAGCCTCAGCAAAGGGCTGGGATTATAGGCATGTGCCACAGCACGTGGCCTGATAAACAGTTGTTAACTAAATAGTACGTGAAGAGACTACTCAGCTTAACAGACAAAACTGTTTTTAGTAATAAAACGGTATCTTGGCCGGGCACAGTAGCTCACATTTGTAATCCCAGCACTCTGGGAGGCTGAGGCAGGCAGAACGCTTGATGCCAGGAGTTCGAGATCAGCCCAGGCAACATGATGAAACCCCACCTCTAATTTAAAAAAAAGGTACAAAAATTAGCCGAGCGTGGTGGCGCATGCCTGCAATCCCAGATATTCTGGAGCCTGAGGTGGGAGGAGCTTGAACCTGGGAGGTGGAGGTTGCAAGAAGCCAACATCGCACCACTGCACTCCAGCCTGGTGACAGAGCAAGACTGTCTTGAAGAAAGAACTGTCCTATTATTCCTCCTGCTTACTGTCAGAATTTCTGTAGTGACTATAGCTAAGCATGTAACACGGTAATGGAACGAACACACACACACACACACACACACACACACACACACACACACAAGCTGGCACAATAAGCCCAATAAATGTTTTTGCTTCCCATAAGACACACTCAGAATGTCAACTCTTCCTCACTGTTTCCAAGCTTTGTTCAAGTAGAAACAGGGGACACTAGATGCAATAATTAAAGAGAAATCTTATACCTCCCAGCAGATCTCTGAGCCTTTTTTCTTTTTTTTGAGACGGAGTTTCGCTCTGTTGCCCAGCCTGGAGTGTGGTGGCATGATCTTGGCTCACTGCAAGCTCCGCCTCCCGAGTTCATGCCATCCTCCTGCCTCAGCCTCCCGAGTAGCTGGGACTACAGGTACCGCCACCACGCCTGGCTAATTTTTTTGTATTTTTAGTAGAGACGGGGTTTCACCAGTTATCCAGGATGGTCTCGATCTCCTGACCTCATGATCTGCCCGCCTCGGCCTCCCAAAGTGCTGGGATTATAGGCGTGAGCCACCGCGCCTGGCCTGAGCCTTGTTTTCATTCCAAACCTACTCAAACCAAAGCTCTTTAAGAGAAGCTTCCTTAAGCCCCGAAAAATATTCCTGAAAACCCAGATTCCTCAAGGCCCTGAGAATTTGTATCTACTCCCGGGCCAGGGCAGCAAGGTAGACAGGGTTAGCCAGGTTCACAAGGACACTGGCACCAGCTAGACACCAGGCAGGTGACACTGATGAGATGACCTGGAATGGCAAAATAGAGCAGGATAAGAGTGATCTGTTTGGCTCCTCCAGCTCCCTCCCTCATCCCAGCCAGGTTCTGCTATCTCCAATAAGCTTCTGGGTTCTTTGTCAGATCCAGTTGTTTTTTTGTTTGTTTGTTTGTTTTTGAGATGGAGTCTCACTCTGTCCCCCAGGCTGGAGTGCAGTGGCGCGATCTTGGCTCACTGCAAGCTCCGCCTCCTGGGTTCACGCCATTCTCCTACCTCAGCCTCCCAAGTAGCTGGGACTACAGGCACCCGTTGCCATGCCCGGCTAATTTTTTGTATTTTTAGTAGAGACGGGGTTTCACCGTGTTCGCCAGGATGGTCTCGATCTCCTGACCTCATGATCCGCCCGTCTCAGCCTCCCAAAGTGCTGGGATTACAGGCTTGAACCACCGCGCCTGGCCCCAGATCCAGTTTTAAGACTGTTTCAAGTGACAGAGCCAGAACTCCAGTCCCTAAAAAAACAATTTGCAAAAGAAGTCCTGGGATGGGAGACAGCCTTTTGTAATCCAAGATTAACCCTAATTTTGAGAAAAGTATGATGGTTTCAATTTTTTTTTTAATTCCCTTAAAAATGGACAGTGTTTTACTCTGCAAAGAAAAAATTCTTGAAACAAACTCTATAAACCAATAATACTAGTTTTTGTGTTTTTAGGATTTTTTTTTGAGACAGGGTCTTGCTCTGCTGCCTAGGCTGGAGTGCAGTGGTGTGATCTCAGCTCTCTGCAGCCTCTGCCTCCTGGGTTCAAGTGATCCTCCCATCCTAGCCTCCCAAGTAGCTGGGACCACAGGCACATGCTGCCACACCTGGCTAGGTTTTTAAAATTTATTTTTATTTATTATTATTTTTTGAGACAGAGTCTCGCTCAGCCACCCATGCTGGAGTGTAGTGGTGCGATCTCAGTTCACTGCAACCACAATCTCCCAGGTTCAAGCGATTCTCCTATCTCAGCCTCTCGAGTAGCTGGGATTACAGGCACCCGCCATCATGCCCGGCTAATTTTTGTATTTTAGTAGACAGACGAGGTTTCACCATGTTGGCCAGGCTGGTCTTGAACTCCCGACCTCAGGTGATCTGCCTGTCTCAGCCTCCCAAAATGCTAAGATTATAGGCGTGAGCCACTGCACCCGGCCTACTTTTTTTATTTTTTGTAGAAATGGGGTTTCACCATGTTGCCCAGGCTGGTCTTGAACTCCAGTCTCAAGCGATCCTCCTGCCTCAGCCTCCCAAAGCACTAGGATTACGGGTGTGAGCCTCTGTGCCTTACCCCCACTGTACTTTTCAAATGTACATTTTACAGATGAGAAAAGAGAGAATCAGCGATCTGTCCAATGTCACACAACAAATTGAGGCAATACTCAAATGATCTCTGACTAAAATACCTCAATTTTTTTCCAGTTTATCACTCTTAAGAATTGCTGCTCTAGCCAGGTACAATTGCTCACATCTGTAATCTCAGGGCTTCGGGAGGCCAAGGTGGGAAGATGGCTTGAGCCCAAGAGTTTAAGTCCAGCCTGGGCAACACAGACCTCATCTTAAAAAAAAAAAAAAAAAAAATTAATGAGCCAGACATGGTGGCAACAACCCTGTAGCCCTAGCTATCACAGAGAAGGAATGGAAAAGTGGGAAGCAAGAAAGCCTGCAGACATTTAACAGTACTCAGTTCAACCCACGGAAATTGCATTTTTCTCTTCTTCTATTCCTGGATGAGGTCAGAAAGATATGAGCTTTGCTCAGACAAAGAGTCCTTTGTAAAATCCCTAATAAGAGTCTTTTGTAAAATCCCTAAGTTAAAAAAAAAAGTCAAACCTGAACTTTACAGAATCAAGGTCCACCTTAGGACTACCTCCTTATGGCTAAAGCTAGGGAGATATGGGATCAGGAATGCAGCAGGCCACTGTTTGGCTGCCCTATGTTAGATGGCCAGCTGCCAGAGTACAAATCTGTGTGTACCAAATAAAGCAGCTGCACACAGGTTAATAGGCTTTTAATGCCTTGTTACTTAATAATATAACCTTTACCATTTTTTTTTTTCCTTTGAGGCAAGGTCTTACTGTGTTGCCCAGGCTGAAGTGCAGTGGCACTATCACGGCTCACTGCAACCTCCACCTCCCAGGCTCAAGTGGTCTTCCAACCTCAGCCTCTCGAGTAGCTGGGACTACAGGCATGCACCACCATGCCAGGCTAATTTTTTAAAATTATTTTTTGTAGAGACAGGGTTTTGCTATGTTGCCCAGGCTGGTCTCGAACTCCTGGGCTTAAGTGAACTGCCGGCCTCAACCTCCCCAATCCCAAGTGCTGGGATTACAGGCACGAGCCATCATGCCCAGACTCCATGACATAACTCCTTAATCAATGTTCTATACCTACAGAAACTGACTTTAAAATAAAAGCTAAGGGCTGGGCGCAGTGGCTCACTTGAGGTCAGGAGTTTGAGACCAGCCTGGCCAACATGGTGAAAACCCGTCTCTACTAAAAATACAAAAATTAGCCAGGTATGGTGGCACTTGCCTGTAATTCCAGCTACTTGGGAGGCTGAAACATAACAATCACTTGAACCTAGGAGGCGGAGGTTGCAGTGAGCAGAGATCGTACCACTGCACTCCAGCCTGGATGACAGAGCAAGACTCTGTCTCAAAACACAAACAAACAAATAAATAAATAAAGGATAAGCTGTTTGGGGAGGGTATATCTCAAAGTCTAATGATACAAGGATATGGGAGCCAAAATTCCCAGGTCCAATAAGGCCCCAGAGAGCTGTCATGGTCTCCCCTCACTCTAAAATTTCAATTATGCTAATTATAAGGCGATTACACAACCTCTTCTTTTTCCAGGGTTCCTGAATTTCCTCCTTACCCAGCTTAGGCTTCATTATTGCAATCACTCCCTCACATACACCCTTTCCTTCCTGCCTCACTCTCCCTTAGAGTCGCACATGCCTAAAACATGCTAACACTGGTTAAACAGAGCTCTACTCTTATTTTGTACCTGCAAATCACAGGTGAACACACATGAGACTAATTAATCTCACATGAAATGTATGGCCCATAATCTCAAGTGGGCCCTTCGCGTGGTTGCCTATCTGAGCACATTTCCCTAATCCACCCATACTCCCATGCTCCAGATGACCATTTCATGCCACTTCTCTCTCCTCAACTCGCCTTCTCCTTCCCTCGCCTCAATCACAGCTGATGCTCTTGCTTTCCATTTCACTGAGAAAACAGAAGCAAATTAGAATAAACTTTCCACTTGCTTCTACCACTACACCCACCTACCCACTTGCTTCTAAGCCTATATGCTCTGCCTCCCCTCTTGTTACTACGGAAGAACCACATTTCTATCTAAGGCCAACCTTTTATCTGTGGATCACATTCTCTCTCCTCTGGCCTCCTAAGGTCATTATTCAGGCAATCTGTTCCCTCTCCTCTGATTCAATTTTTTCCCTCTCTCCTAAGTTTCATGCTACTCATTCCATCAGCGTACAAATAGGTCTCCCATCTTGGGATGGGAAAAAACCAACTCTCAACCCCACATCTTCCTCCAACATTCACTTCACTTCTCTTCACCCCTCTCTCCTGGACTTTACAGCAAACTCTTTAAGATATTTCTATATTGCTATCTCCAATTTCTCTCCTCCTATTCCTGCATTCTTGAACCCACTCCAATTAAGCTTTCACTTTCGCCCTCCACCACTCCACTGAAACTACTCCAAAGGGTCCCATGACCAATGCCAGTTCTTGGCCTTTAACTTACCCGACCCATCTGCAGCACTGGGCACAGCTGACCACTTACTCTACCTTGGAGTTTCTCCATCACATTCTTGGTTTTTCTCCTTCCATCCTCACTAGAAGCTTTTCTGTTTCCTCCACTGGGTATTCTTTATCTCTCTTGCCTCTAATGTAGGAGGGCGAGGGCTTAGCCCTCATCTTTTTTTTTTTTTTTTGAAACAGAGCATCACTCTGTCACCCAGGCTGGAGTGCAGTGGCGTGATCTTGGCTCACTGCAACCTCTGCCTCCTGAGTTCAAGCAATTCTCCTGCCTCAGCCTCCTAGGACTCTTCTTATCTATACTCACTCCTTAGGTGACTTCATCTAGCATGTGGTTTTCAATACCATTCAAATGTGTCTCTCTAGTCGAGACCTCTCCCCTCAACTTTGGAGTCTGATAGCCAAGTACCAATTCATTATCTCTTCTTGAGTACCTAATAGGCATCTCACACTTGTCTCAAACCAAACACCTATCTTCCCACAAATTCGCAGTACTCCTAACCATCTGGCCATTTACTGCAACAGCCCAGTAACTGGTCTCTTTTTGTCACCTTTGTCCTACTGCAGTCTGTTATCAACATAGGTGCTAGTGATCTTTTTAAAAGGTGAGTCAAATCATACTACTTCTCTGTTTAAAACTCTCCAGTGGCTTCCCATCTCACAAAGTTAAATTCAAGGTCTTTGCAAAGTCCTGCAGTGTTCTCCCCTGCAGCTCCAGCTTTCCAACCTCTAAGTCCTACCACTCTTCCCTCCCTCAGTCTTTCTAGTCTTGCCACAAAGGCCCTCTTGCTGTCCCCAAAATGTTTCAAGAATACTTCTACCTTATGTCCTCTACATTTGTTGTTCCCACTGCCTGCAACAGCTGTTCTCCTAGATAACTACTAAGCTTACTCGTCACTTTCTTCAGGTCTTTGTCAAATTTTCACCTTATCAGTAAGGACTGTCTTGACTCTCTCCCTACTGCTCCAATTTATCATCATCCGACCTCCGCCCCAGTACATCTTATTCCTCTCCTCTTTGTAATTCTCTAAAGCATACTACATACTATGTATTTATATATTTTACTAGTTTGACTGTCCAAAACAAGAACTTTTTGTCTTTTCTATTTATTGCTATTTCCCTACCAACAGATCTGACGCATAAAAAGGTACTCAATAAACCCATTGAATGAATAAATGAATTACTGTCTTCAAGCAGTGCTCTGGGGAAAAGATAAAATCAATTCACAGCACGATAGGGAAAAAGGTGCTTCCAAGCACTTACCTGCTCCCCGACTGGGAGGGTCTCGGGCTGGGGGAGGTGGCCTATTACTCAGTAAAGAGGAGGAGGCTGAGGTGGGCGGAGGAGGTGCTAGGCCTCTGACAGGCCCTGGTGTCTTCCTATGCAAAGAATTGTGTCTCTGTGGCAGCTCAGGGGCTGACTCATTAGTGGGGCTAGAGGGTCCATTGGGGACCCCAGGAGGCTGGCGGTAAGGCGGAGGAGGAGGAGCCAGAGACTGGCCACTTGGTCCCGTTCTGATATTCACAGGGGAAGGAGGTGGTTTGACTGGGGGTGGAGCAGGAGGTCCCTCTCGACCAGGGTGAAGCCTCTGTCCAGGCGTCGGCGGCAAGGGTTTCTCTCTGTTGTAGGCGGGGGCTTTGTTGCTGTGCATAGGCAGAGGTGTGGGGGGTGCGTTGGCACGCCGCCCTGGGGGTGGCGGGGGAGGGGCAGAGGAGCTGTGCTTCATGCCCGTACTGCTGGTGGTATTAGGCCGAGAGAGGTCCGGTAAAGAGGGTCTCTGCATCCGGGGCAGTTCTGGGAGTGAGGCCCGGCTGCTGTCTGTATCATCCTGAGGACGCCCGCTGGCTGCAGATACTGGAGGCCTTGGGGCAGCAGCTCGAGAACTGGGGACTTGCAGGGCCGGCTTACCAGCTAGGTTCTCTACAAATACACAAACACGGGGTCAACAGAGCTAGACAGATACTGGTCAGTATCTCTACTTGACTCAGCTCCTTAGTGCAACCTGCATGGTAGCAGGGAAAGGACTTGCATAGTTCTGGGTTTTTGCTTTTTTGTGTGTGTGACAAAGTTTTGCTGTTGTTGCCCAGGCTGGAGTGCAATGGCACGATCTCAGCTCACCGCAACCTCTGCCTCATGGGTTCAAGTGATTCTCCTGCCTCAGACCCCTGAGTAGCTGGGATTACAGGCGCGCACCACCACACCCGGCTAATTTTTGTATTTTTAGTAGAGATGGGGTTTCCCCATGTTGGCCAGGCTGGTCTCAAAATCCTAATCTCAGGTGATCCACCCACCTCGGCCTCCCAAAGTGCTGGGATTACAGGCGTGAGCCACCACGTCCGGCCTAGTTCTAGGTTTTAATATGGTTTCAGGCTCAGGATACATTGTTATTTATTTTTAAATTTTACTTTATTTTTGACAAGTAATGATTTTATGTATTTATGGGATACAATGCCTTGTTATATGTATACATTGTGGAATGATTAAATCAAACTAACATATCCATCACCTATTTTTCTTTTTATGGTGAAAACACTTAAAATCTACTCTACAACAGGCGCAGTGGCTCATGCCTGTAATCCCAGCACTTTGGGAGGCCAAGGCAGGTGGATCACTTGAGGTCAGAAGTTTGAGACCAGCCTGGCCAACATGGCGAAACCCTATCTCTACTAAAACTACAAAAATTAGCCAGGTGTGGTGGCCTGTGCCTGTAATCCCACCTACTTGGGAGGCTGAGGCAGGAGAATGGCTTGAACCCAGGAGGGGGAAGTTGCAGTGAGCCAAGATGGCACCACTGCACTCCAGGCTGGGCCAGAGCAAGACTCCATCTCAGGAGGAAAAAAAAGAAAAGAATAAATAAAATAAAACTCTTTTAGCAATTTTCAAATATACATCAAGTATAATCAGGGGTCGTCTGATTATACCCCTGGGGCCACGCACCTGTACAGGTCAGTGACCTGTTAGGAACGGGGCACACAGAAGGTGAGAGAGCAAGCATTACCGCCTGAGCTCCGCCTCCTGTCAGAAGAGCAGCAGCATTAGATTCTCATAGGAGGGCGAACTCCACTGTGAACCGCCCATGTGAGGGATCTAGGTTGCATGCCCCTTAAGAGAATCTAACTAACGCCTGATGATCTAAGGTGGAACAGTTTCATCCCGAAACCATCCCCGACCACCATCCATGGAAAAATTGTCTTCCATGAAACCAGTTCCTGGTGCCTAAAAGACTGGGGACTGCTGCAATAGATCACTAAAACTTATCCCTCCTGTCTAACTGAAACTTTGTACCCTTTGACCAACATCTCCCCTTTCTCCATCCCAACACCTACTGCCCCCAGCCTCTAGTAACCAACGTTTCACTCTCTACTTCTATGAATGAGTTCAACTGTTTCAGATCCCACATATAAATGAGATCATGCAGTATTTGTGTTTTTGTACCTGGCTTATTTCACTTAGTATAATTTCCTCCAAGTTCATCCGTATTATCAGAAATGACAGAAGTTTCCTTCTTTTCTAAGGCTAAATAGTATTCTAGTGTATATATACCACATTTTCTTTATCTAAATTGCATCCGCTTTCATTTAATCCCTCAGCTTTTGCTGTATTCTACTGTATAACTCCTCCCCTGCTCCCAAGTCTTTCTGCCCCCGACCTTTACCACACTCCTCAACTTGAGATGGCCCACTTGGGACATCAGAAATTAACACACCAGGGAAATATCCTGGGAAAGTACTCATCAGATACCTGAACCGTCCTTGGCTCCCACAGGTCGAAGCTTCGGCACTCCTCCTTGGAACAGACCTCCCTTGGGCTGCAGGGCAGCTCCTCCAGAGCCATAGCCACCACTGCTTCCTTTGGGCTCTGGAAAGCATACCAGTAGGGTTTTCATTTCACATGCTCTCAGCTGATGACCAAGTCAATCATGAGGGGAAACCCCTCCTCTGTCTGGGCTATCGCTTGCAAACAAACCAGTCTTGTTTTTGCCCTTCTATTTAAAAAAGCAGGCCTGGTACAGTGGCTCATGTCATTAATCCCAGCATTTTGGGAGGCCAAGATGGGAGGATCACTTAAGTTCAGGAGTTTGAGAGCAGCCTGGGCAACATAGTAGGACCCTGTCTCTACAAAAAATTTCAAAAATTACCCAGGCATGGTGATGCATGCCTATATACTTGGGAGGCTGAGATGGGAGGATTGATTGAGCCTGGGAGGTCGAGGTGGCAGTGAACCATGATCGTACCACTGCACTCCAGCCTGAGCGACAGACAGAGCAAGACCCTGTTTCAGAAAAAAAAAAAGAGAGAGAGAGAAAAGAAAAGAAGGGAAAGCTAGGCGTCTCTGCTCCACAGCTTTGTGTAGGGATGAAACTCTTTGTTGTGATGAAAGAGAAAGAACAAGTGAGGCTGGGCGCAGTGGCTCACACCTGTAATGCCAGTACTGTGGGAGGCCGAGGTGGGCGGATCACGAGGTCAGGAGATAGAGACTACGGTGAAACCCCGTCTCTACTAGAAATACAAAAAATTAGTCGGGCGTGGTGGCGGGTGCCTGTAGTCCCAGCTACTTGGGAGGCTGAGGCAGGAGAATGGTGTGAACCCGGGAGGTGGAGCTTGCAGTGAGCTGAGATTGTGCCACTGCACTCCAGCCTGGGTGACAGAGTGAGACTCCGTCTCAAAAGAAAAAAAAAAAAGAACAAGTGGCTGATCTTCCTTTATTTAGGGCAAAGGGATAAGGGGGTTAAATAAATGTTTGGGGGGCCAGGCGCAGTGGCTCATGCCTGTAATCCCAGCACTTTGGGAGGCCGAGCAGGTGGACCACCTGAGGTCAGGAGTTCAAGACCAGCCTGGTCAACACGGTGAGACCCCCCCGTCTCTACTAAAAATACAAAAAATTAGACAGGCGTGGTGGCACGCACCTGTAATCCCAGCTACTTGGGAGGCTGAGGCACGAGAATCATCTGAACCCAGGAGGCAGACGTTGCAGTGAGCTGAGGCCACGCCACTGCACTCCAGCCTGGGCAACAAGAGCAAAACTCAGGCTAAAAAAAAAAAAGTGCAACATAGTTATCTGGACTCTCCTCTCCACATCTCAGATGATAGATAGAAAGTTAAGGGATCAGGGACCAATATGTGAGCACTCTCCAGAGGCCTACAGGAACGGACACTTGTAGCAATCATAAAATCAACCTTGGTTTCAGTCAAGAGGTTTATAGGAATGTGGCAGTATCCTCAAAGGACAGTCAAGGATGTGCCCTGATGAGTATTAGTTACAATAAGAGACGGCAGCCTTCTTTTTTTTTTTTTCTTTTCCTTTTTGAGAGACAGAGTCTTGCTCTGTTGCCCAGGCTGGAGTGCAGTGGCGCAGTGACGTGATCACAGCTCACTGCAGCCTCGAACTTCTAGGCTCATGCAATCTTTCCACCTTGACCTCCCAAAGTATTTGGCTTACAGGCATGAGCCACCACGCCCAGTGAGATGGTAACCTTAAACCTGAGATGCTCTCCAAGAGTCAAGAAGAAACTTCTAAGGTTCAGAAGAATGAGAAGAGAGCCAAAGCACATCCCAGGACAAAACTCTCCCACTCAAGCCCCAATAAAAATAACAACACAGCCAAGTCTTCAAGTCACTCCTGGGATCCTGCCGGTTCACTAGGAAATGAAGCTCAGACTCACTCTCGAGGATGGGAGCACTCCGATCATTAATGTTGGTCACCTTCTTCAGCTTGGTCCCTTTGCAAATGTCCTGTAAGAGGGCGCCTCGACCCCGCTGCTCATCTCTACTCAGCTTGGGCTGCTCTGTGTTTGCCTGGAGGATAAAAGAAATGTAAGTTCACCCTAAATAGTTCCCTTTATCGGCCAGGTGCAGTGGCTCACACCTGTAATCCCAACACTTTGGGAGGCCAAGGCAGGTGGATCACTTGAGGTCAGGAGTTCGAGACCATCCTGGCCAACATGGTGAAACCCCGTCTCTACTAAAAATACAAAAAATTAGCCAGGCATGGTGGCACATGCTGTAATCCCAGCTACTCGGGAGGCTGAGACAGGAGAATCACTTGAACTCGGGAGTTGGAGGTTGCAGTGAGCCGAGATCACACCACTGCACTCCAGCCTGGGCAACAGGGCGAGAATGCGTCTGCAAGAAAAAAAAAAAAGTTCCCTTTATCACAAGCTTGGGATAAATGACTTAAAGCAAACGGATTCCTTGAAATATCTGTCTAACGTCATTAGATATATATACCAAAGAGCAATATCAATGTGCATCATCCTTTTCAGTTTTTTCCCTCCTGTTCTATCTTCTGTGAAGGAGCTCCATTTCCTTCTTATTCAGAAGCTTCTGATGGGAGGCCTGCAGTAATACTTAGTTATCTTTGTGCTAGTCTGCATGTGAGACACTATGTATGTATGTTAATGTGTATCATCACCATCAAGGCAAAATTTAGTCCCTACTATGACTTAGGCACTGTGGTAAGCACAATATTTGCCTTAGCTGATTTAAATCTCGAAACCTTCCCATGAGAAAGGTATTATTATCATTGTCGCCATTTGGAAAGGGTAGGCCAGATGCTGAATAGCTATCTAAGGTCATGCAACTAATAAACGATAAAACAAGAGTCCAAACTCCAACAGTGACACTAAAAACTCATATCCTATCTCAACTAACATACCCTACTGTCTCCCTATTACTTCAATTTAACCTCTAAATAAAGTTATAAAGTAAACTATATTATTCTCATTCCAAAGATGAGGAAATAAAGATAATGTCACATCATTAATAAACAAACAGCCAAGATTTGAATGCTCTGATTGTCTCGAAGCCCCAGGCGTTTTCTATTCTCTGATTGCTTTTTTTGTTTTTGCTTTTTTTTATTTTTGAGACAGGGTCTTATTCTGTCATCCAGGCTGGAGTGCAGTGGCACGATCACTGCTCACTGCAGCCTCAATTTCTCAGGCCCAAGTGATCCTCTCACTTCAGCCTCCCAAGTAGCTGGAACTACAGGTACATGCCACCACATTTGGCTAATTTTTGTAACCTTTCAACAACATGGTTCTTTTCAGGTTCTTCATCTTCCACTTACCTCTTAAACCTCATTTCCCAGAGTTCTATCCTCAGCCTCTATTCAAATGCTCCTGGGCACACCCACCCCGTCCCAGGGCTTGATTGCCACCATAACTCCCCAAACTTCAAATATGTGTATCTCGTCCTCATGCCTCTGACCTGAACTTCATACACTGCAGTATAAAAAATGATGCATGCGGCTGGGCGCAGTGGCTCACGCCTGTAATCCCAGTACTTTGGGAGGCCGAGGCGGGCGGATTGTGAGGTTGAGAGATCGAGACCATCCTGGCCAACATGGTGAAACCCCATCTCTACTAAAAATATAAAAAACTTAGCCGGGTGCGGTGGCATGTGCCTATAATCCCAGCTACTCAGGAGGCTGAGGCAGGAGAATCACTTGAACCTGGGAGGCAGAGACTGAAGTAAGCCGAGATCACGCCACTGAACTCCAGCCTGGTGACAGAGTGAGACATCGCTTCAAGATTTAAAAAAAAAAAAAAAAAAAAAAAAGTCATGCATGCGGCCGGGCGCGGTGGCTCATGCCTGTAATTCCAACACTTTGGGAGGCTGAGGCAGGTGGATCACCTGAGGTTGGGAGTTCAGGACCAGCCTGACCAACATGGAGGAACCCCGTCTTTATTAAAAATACAAAAATTAGCCTGGCATGGTGGCACAGGCCTGTAATCCCAGTTACTTGGAAGGCTGAGCCAGGAGAATTGCCTGAACCCAGGAGGCATAGGCTGCGGTGAGCCAAGATCCCAACATTGTACTCCAGCCTAGGCAACAAGAGCAAAGCTCCATCTCAAAAAATAAAAATAAAAATAAAGATGCAAGTTAAAACATAGTAACTACCAACTGGTAAAGGTTAAAATCAGAAGGCCAGGCATGGTGGCTCACGCCTACAATCCCAGCACTTTGGGAGGCCAAGGCGGTGGATCAAGAGGTCAGGAGACCGAGACCATCCTGGCCAACATGCTGAAACCCCATCTCTACTAAAAATACAAAAATTAGCCAGGCGTGGTGGCATGCGCCTGCAGTCCCAGCTACTCAGGAGGTTGAGGTAGGAGATTTGCTTGAACCTGGGAGGCGGAGGTTGCAGTAAGCTGAGATCGCACCACTGCACTCCAGCCTGGGTGACAGAGCGAGACTCCACCTCAAAAAAAAAAAAAATTTTTTTTTTTACTAAAGAGACTGTAAAAACTTACTGAAGGCAGGGTTCATGAAGGCAGGAACCACACCACTCACTGCTGCAGAGTGCCTGGCACAGAGAGGAAGCTCAAAAAATGCGCAGGATGGGCCGGGCGTGGTGGCTCACACCTGTAATCCCAGCACTTTTGGAGACCGAGGTGGGTGGATTATGAGGTCAGGAGTTCGAGACCAGCCTGGCCAACATGGCGAAACCCCGTCTATACTAAAAATACAAAAATCAGCCTGGTGGCCGGGCACAGTGGCTCACGTCTGTAATCCCAGCACTTTGGGAGGCCGAGGCGGGTGGATCATGAGGTCAGGAGTTCGAGACCATCCTGGCTAACATGGTGAAACCCCGTCTCTACTAAAAATTACAAAAAATTAGCCGGGCGTGGTGGCGTGCGCCTGTAGTCCCAGCTACTTGGGAAGCTGAGGCAGGAGAATGGCGTGAACCCGGGAGGCAGAGCGGAGCTTGCAGTGAGCCGAGATTGTGCCACTGCACTCCAGCCAGGGCGACAGGGCGAGACTCCGTCTCAAAAAAAAAAAAAAAAAAAAATCAGCCTGGCATGGTGGTGCATGCCTGTAATCTCAGCTACTTGGGAGGCTGAGGCAGAAGAATCGTTTGAACCTGGGAGGCAGAGGTTGCAGTGAGGCGAGATCACACCACTGTACTCTAGCCTGGCTGACAGAGCAAGACTCTGTTTCAAAAAATAAATAAGTAAATAAAATTTAAAAATGAAAAATAAATACACAGGATGAATAAGTATGGTAGTCGTAAGGATTCAGGGAAAAGGGAATTTTTATACTACCTAGGGTAAGATAAATTGGTATAATCTTTCTAGAAAGCAATTTAACAATATGTATGAAAAGCCTTAAAAATGTCCAGGCCAGGTGCAGTGGCTCATGCCTGTAATCCCAGCACTTTAGGAGGCCGAGGCAGGCAGATCACCTGAGGTCAGGAGTTTGAGACCAGCCTGGCCAACATAATGTAACCCTGTCTCTGCTAAAAACATAAAATTAGCCAAGCATAGTGGCACATGCCTGTAGTTCCAGCTACTTGGGAGGCTAAGGCAGGAGACTCGCTTGAACCCGGGAGGCAGAGGTTGCACTGAGCTGAGATCGTGCCATCGCACTCTAGGCGACAAGAGCAAAACTCCATCTCAAAAAAAAAAAAAAGGCTTGAACATGTGTGGCACAAGAATTCTACTTCTAGGAATTCATTTTAAGAAAACAACTGGGGCCGGGCGCGGTGGCTCAAGCCTGTAATCCCAGCACTTTGGGAGGCCGAGACGGGCGGATCACGAGGTCAGGAGATCAAGACCATCCTGGCTAACACGGTGAAACCCCGTCTCTACTAAAAAATACAAAAAACTAGCCGGGCGAGGTGGCGGGCGCCTGTAGTCCCAGCTACTTGGGAGGCTGAGGCAGGAGAATGGCGTGAACCCGGGAGGCGGAGCTTGCAGCGAGCGGAGATCCGGCCACTGCACTCCAGCCTGGGCGACAGAGCGAGACTCCGTCTCTAAAAAAAAAAAAAAAGAAAACAACTGGACAGGCCGGGCATGGTGGCTCAAGCCTGTAATCCCAGCACTTTGGGAGGCCGAGACGGGTGGATCGCGAGGTCGGGAGATTGAGACCATCCTGGCTAACACAGTGAAATCCCGTCTCTACTAAAAAATACAACAAAAAACTAGCTGGGCGAGGTGGCAGGCGCCTGTAGTCCCAGCTACTCGGGAGGCTGAGACAGGAGAATGGCGTAAACTCGGGAGGCGGAGCTTGCAGTGAGCTGAGATCCGGCCATTGCACTCCAGCCTGGGCGACAGAGCGAGACTCCATCACAAAAAAAAAAAAACTGGACAAGTGCACAAAGATGCTAATAATAGCAATAAACTATTTCTAATGGCATAAAACTGAAAATAATCTAAAAACTAAATCAGAAGGAACAATGATAATATAAGCATACAATGGAATGCCAATTAAGCTCTCAAATATTTAAAAGTAAGTATCTTTTTATAGCAATGATGTTTGACACAATCTTTTTTTTTTTTTTTGGAGACAGACTCTCCCTCTCTTGCTCAGGCCAGAGTGCAGTGGTGTGATCTCGGCTCACTGCAAGCTCTGCCTCCCAGATTCGAGAGATTCTAGTGCCTCAGCCTCCCAAGTAGCTGCGACAACAGGCGTATGCCACCACACATGGCTATTTTTTTTGTTTGTTTTTAGAAGAGATGGGGTTTCGTCATGTTGGCCAGGCTGGTCTCAAACTCCTGACCTCAGGTGATCCACCTGCCTTGGCCTCTCAAAGTGTGGCCACTGCACCTGGCCTCGTCAAGTAAAACATTTTGAAAAACAATACATATGACCTGGTGTGGTGGCTCACACTTATAATCCCAATACTCTGGGAAACTGAGGTAGGTGGATCATCTGAGGTCATGAGTTCAAGACCAGCCTGGCCAACTTGGTGAAACCCCGTCTGTACTAAAAATACAAAAGTTGGCCGGGCGCGGTGGCTCAAGCCTGTAATCCCAGCACTTTGGGAGGCCGAGACGGGTGGATCACGAGGTCAGGAGATCGAGACCATCCTGGCTAACCCGGTGAAACCCCGTCTCTACTAAAAAATACAAAAAACTAGCCGGGCGAGGTGGCGGGCGCCTGTAGTCCCAGCTACTGGGGAGGCTGAGGCAGGAGAATGGCGTAAACCCGGGAGGCGGAGCTTGCAGTGAGCTAGTGAGCTGAGATCCGGCCACTGCACTCCAGCCTGGGCGACAGAGCGAGACTCCATCTCAAAAAAAAAAAAAAAAAAAAAATACAAAAGTTAGCTAGACATAGTGGTGAACACCTGAAGTCCCAGCCACTCGTGTGGCTGAGGCATGAGAATCACTTGAACCCGGGAGGCGGAGGCTGCAGTGGGCTAAGATCATGCCACTGTACTCCAGCCTGGGTGACAGTGAGATCCTGTCTCACAAAAAAAAAAAAAAAAGAAAAAAGATTTCACTTTCTGAATATCTTTTTTTTTTTGAGACACAGTCTCACTCTGACTGGCAAATTTTTGTATTTTTAGTAGAGACAGGGTTTCACTATGTTGGCCAGGCTGGTCTCAAACTCCTGACCTTGTGATCCATCCGCCTCAGTCTCCCAAAGTGCTGGGATTACAGGCGTGAGCCACCACACCTGGCCTCTAAATAACATTTTTTTTTTTTAGATGGAGTCTCGCTCTGTTGCCCAGGCTGGAGTGTAGTGGTACAATCTCGGCTCACTGCAAGCTCCGCCTCCTGGGTTTACGCCATTCTCCTGATTCAGCCTCCGAGTGGCTGGGACTACAGGTGCCCACCACCATGCCCAGCTAATTTTTTCTATTTTTAGTAGAGACGGGGTTTCACCATCTTAGCCAGGATGGTCTCGATCTCCTGACCTCGTGATCCGCTTGCCTCGGCCTCCCAAAGTGCTAGGATTATAGGCATGAGCCACCATGTCCGGCCTCCCTCTAAATATCTCGACTCCACTATCCATGCTGATAGCTTTAGTTTAGACCTAAATTTTCTTTTTCTTTTTCTTTTTTTTTGGGGGGGGGTGGAGTCTTGCTCTGTCGCCCAGGCAGGAGTGTAATAGTGCGATCTCCACTCACTGCAACCTCCACCTCCTGGGTTCAAGTGATTCTCCCAACTCAGCCTCCCTGGTAGCTGGGATTATAGGCACCCACCATCATGCCTGGCTAACTTTTTTTGTATTTTTATAGAGATGGGCTGTCATTATGTTGGCCAGGCTGGTCCTGAACTCCTGACCTCAGGTGATTCGCCCGCCTCAGCCTGCCATAGTGCTGGGATTACAGGCATGTGCCACTGTGCCCAGCCTTAGACCTAAATTTTCAATGGCAACAGGCCTCTGTCTCCAGGCTCGACCCCAACCCCAGTCCCCCAAACTGTATTGGAAAGGTGCAAAAACAGGTTACTCTTGCTGCTGAAAATATTTCAACAACTCCTCATGATGGTCAGAAGAAAAATCTAAACCCTCAGCGTACATCTCCAGCTGCATCTGCTACCACATCCCCTCAAGCAATAATCTAAACCTCTATATGCTTTCTTACAAATCAGCACGAGGCCGGCACAGTGGCCCACACCTGTAATCCCAGCACTTTGGGAGGCCCAGGCAAGAGGATCACTTGAAACCAGGAGTTCAAGACCAGTCTAGGCAACAAAGTGAGACTCTGCCTTTACAAAAAAAAAAAAAATTTTTTTTTTTTTGAGACAGAGGTTCAAGTGCTGGGATTACAGGCATGAGCCACTGCACCCAGCCTAAAAAAAATTTTTTTTAAATTAGCTACGTGCAGTGTCATGCACATGTAGTCCCCTCTACTTAGGAGGCTGAGGCAAGCAGATCACTGAGCCCAGGAATTAGAGGCTGCAGTGAGTTATGATCAGAACCACTGCACTCCAGCAACACAGTGAGACCCTGTCTCATTAATTAATTAATTAACACCAAATCAGTATCTTTCCACATGCTGCTTCCTCAGCTTCAAGTGCCCTCCCTCCCTCCTTTCTTTCTGGCTAAGCTCTACTCATAGTTTAAGACTCAGCTCAAGTATCACCACCTACCTAAAAGCCTTCATTGACTGCCTCCTCTTTCTACCCTGACTATAACCATACAAGCTCTGCTTTATTTTTTTGAGACAGAGTCTCACTCTGTCACCCAGGCTGGAGTGCAGCGGCGTGATCTCAGCTCACTGCAACCTCTGACTCCCTAGTTCAAGCGATTCTCCTGCCTCAGCCTCTCAAGTAGCTGGGATTACAGGCAAATGCCACCACGCACAGCTAATTTTTGTATTTTTAGTAGAGATGGGGTTTCACGACGTTGGCCAGGATGGTCTCGATCTCCTGACCTTGTGATCTGCACGTCTTGGCCTCCCAAAGTGCTGGGTGCAATCTCTGCCTCTAGGGTTCAAGTGATTCACCTGCCTCAGCCTTCCAAGCAGCTGGGATTACTGGCTCCCAACCACCACACTCAGCTAATTTTTGTATTTTCAGTAGAGATGGGAGTAGAGATGGGGTTTCGCCGTGTTGGCCAGGCTGGTCTCAAACTTCTGACGTCAACTGATCCACCCGCCTCGGCCTCCCAGAGTGCTGGGACTACAGGTGTGAGCCACCACGCCCGGCCAAGCTCTGCTTTTATCTACTTCATTTATTGGGCTTCCACACAAAACTTCATCTAAAAGGCGGTTCATACATATTCTTAAAACAAAATGTCTAAAAACTACAGGTTATGAAAACAAACAGAAGTGGGTAAACCTGAACTCTAGTTCTAGTTCTGAAACAAATTAGATAGGCAAGTCACTTTTCCTCTTCAGGGTACAATTTCTCAACTGTTAAACACTTAACATACACACATAAACACACATACACACCTATGCATGCACGCATACACACACCCGTGGCCTACTCTTCTCTGAAGTTACTTTTACTTCCAAATTTTACAAAAATAGAATGCATACAGGTTCCTTTGGTTCCTTTTTTTTGAGACGGAGTCTCGCTCTGTCGCCCACGCTGGAAAGCAGTGGCATGATATCCGCTCACTGCAAGCTCTGCCTCCCAGGTTCACGCCGTTCTCCTGCCTGAGCCTTCCAAGTAGCTGGGACTACAGGAGCCTGCCACCACGCCCGGCTAATTTTTTGTATTTTTTAGTAGAGACTGGGTTTCACCGTGTTAGCCAGGACAGTCTCAATCTCCTGACCTCGTGATCCGCCCGCCTCGGCCTCCCAAAGTGCTGGGATTACAGGCATGAACCACTGCGCCCAGCACCCCCACGCCTTTTTTTTTTGAGACGAAGTCTCGCTCTGTCACCCAGGCCAGAGTGTGGCGTGATCTCAGCTCACTGCAACCTCCACCTCCTGGGTTCAAGCAATTCTCCTGCTTCAGCCTCCTGAGTGGCTGGGATTACATGCGCCTGCCACCATACCTGGCTAATTTTTGTATTTTTAGCAGAAACATGACTTCACCATGTTGGCCAGGCTGGTTGCGAACTCCTGACCTCAAGCAATTCGCCTATCTCAGCCTCCCAAAGTGTGGGGATTACAGGTGTGAGCCACCGCGCCTGGCCTCAGGTTCCCTCTTTCTCATGTGAAACCAGGTATCATAATCCAGGTATGGTTAAAGTAGCTTCCTGTTTGGTTCAAAAACCACACTGCTTTTTTTCCTATTATTGAATCTTTCGGTCTTCGAACCAACACATTTCAAAACTCCTTTCCTTCTTGATAAGGTGTTGGACTTGATGGACTTGGCTTTAAAATGAACTGATTTTGAATAGAAAAGATGATGAAGTGGTATCAAGAGACAACCACTAAGAATCCTCAGGCCGAGTGCGGGGGCTCACGCCTGCAAACCCAGCACTTTCGGAGGCCGAGGCGGGAGGATCACGAGGTCATGAGTTCAAGACCAGCCTGGCCAACATGGTAAAATCCCATCTCTACTAAAAATACAAAAATTAGCCGGGTGTGGTGGTGCATGCCTGTAATCCCAGCTACTTAGGAGGTGAGGCAGGAGAATCTCTTGAACCCAGGAGGTGGAGGTTGCAGTGAGCCGAGACCGCGCCACTGCACTCCAGCCTAGGCAACAGAGCGAGACTGTCTCAAAAAAAAAAAAAAAAAAAAAAGGCCGGGCGCGGTGGCTCAGGCCTGTAATCCCAGCACTTTGGGAGGCCGAGACGGGCGGATCACGAGGTCAGGAGATCGAGACCATCCTGGCTAACAAGGTGAAACCCCGTCTCTACTAAAAAATACAAAAAAATTAGCCGGGCGAGGTGGCGGGTGCCTGTAGTCCCAGCTACTCGGGAGGCTGAGACGGGAGAATGGCCTGAACCCAGGAGGCAGAGCTTGCAGTGAGCTGAGATCCGGCCACTGCACTCCAGCCTGGGCGACAGAGCAAGACTCCATCTCAAAAAAAAAAAAAAAAAAGATTCCTCACCACTTTTTTCTCAAAAATGCCAAAGGAACAACAAACTAACTTTTATACAGCAAATAGTTTTAGGGGAAAACACTAGCTCCTACTCCAATGCCACCTGTCCAAATCTCCATTTAGAGTGAACCAGGACAAGGAAAGCAGACATGCCATTATGGTCCTAAGAGGACATCTCAGGAATCAGAACCAGCTGAAGAAGATGGACTTGTTTATTCTCCACCTTCCTATACCACATGTCATTGATTATACACTATGTCTTGTACAAGGAAGCCCTATGTATCCTTTAATGCTAGGAATAACAATCTGGAATGTTAAAAACAGAATGAAAGAATAGGAATGCTACGGGTAGGAAAATCTAGAAATTTTAACCAAAGGGGTTAAAAAATAATAGTAATATGTGAGGACCATCAACCTATTTACTCAAAGGTTTTGAGATAGCCTGATGGAAGGACTACCTACCTGATGAAACGTGGGAGGTGGAGGAGGGCCAGGTGGGGGTGGCGGGGGAGGAGGAATTGGCATTCTTGCCCTGCTCCCAGTTGGCACTGTTCTCTCTCCGTCTTTATTTGTAGCTTTAGGTCATTCATATACCTGCAAATGAAACAAATTAATAACAACAGCTTTACCATTAGATACAAGTGCCCAGGAGAACAAGAGAACTGGGCATGACAACTGAAAGAGACTGCACACCTCATCTTCTAGTTCCACTGTGATACAGTCCAGAGCCTGGCAAATCTGTTTAAATCAATTGTTTTAATTTGCAATTTCCTAATGACTTATGATGCTGAACATCTTTTCATATGCTTTTCATATGCTTACTTGTCATCTGTTTTTCTTCTCTGGTAAGGTGTCCAGGACTTCTGTCCTTTTTTTTTTTTTTTTTAAAGAGACTGGGTTTCTCTCCATTGCCCAGGCTGAAGCACAGTGGCACAATCACGGCTCACTACAGCCTAGAACTCCTGAGCTCCAGCAATCCTCCCACCTCAGCCTCTCGAGTAGCTGGGACTACAGGCACACGCCATTACGCCCACCTAATTAAAAAAAAATTTTCGGACCGGGCATGGTGGCTTACGCCTGTAATCCCAGCACTTTGGGAGGCTGAGGCGGGTGGATCACGAAGTCAGGAGATCAAGACCATCCTGGCTAACACAGTGAAACCTTGTCTCTACTAAAAATACAAAAAATTAGCTGGGCAAGGTGGCGGGCGCCTGTAGTCCCAGCTACTCGGGAGGCTGAGGCAGGAGAATGGCGTAAACCCAGGAGGCAGAGCTTGCAGTGAGCTGAGATCCGGCCACTGCACTCCAGCCTGGGCAACAGAGCGAGACTCCGTCTCAAAAAATAAATAAATAAACAAATAAATTTAGGGCCGGGCGCGGTGGCTCAAGCCTGTAATCCCAGCACTTTGGGAGGCCGAGACAGGCAGATCACGAGGTCAGGAGATCGAGACCATCCTGGCTAACACGGTGAAACCCCGTCTCTACTAAAAAATACAAAAAATTAGCCAGGCGAGGTGGCGGGCACCTGTAGTCCCAGCTACTCAGGAGGCTGAGGCAGGAGAATGGTGTAAACCCAGAGGTGGAGTTTGCAGTGAGCTGAGATCCGGCCACTGCACTCCCACTACCGCCTGGGCAACAGAGCGAGACTCCGTCTCAAAAAAAAAAAAAAAAGAATAAATAAATAAATAAATAAATAAATAAATTTAGGCCGGGCACGGTGGGTCACACCTGTAATCCCAGCACTTTGGGAGGCCAAGGCGGGCAGATGACCTGAGATTGGGAGTTCAAGACCAGCCTGACCAACATGGAGAAACCCTGTCTCTACTAAAAATATAAAATTAACTGGGTGTGGTGGCGCATGCCTGTAATCCCAGCTACTGCGGAGGCTGAGGCAGGAGAATCACCTGAACCTGGGAGGCAGAGGTCGTTGGGGTGAGCTGAGATTGCGCCACTGCACTCCAGCCCGGGCAACAACAGCGAAACTCTGTCTCAAAAAAAAAAAAAATCAGAGATGGGTGCTCACTATACTGCCCAGGCTTGTCTCCAACTCCTGGCCTCAAGCAATCATCTCACTTCAGCCTCCCAGCTGGGATTACAGGTGTGAGGAACCATGCCTGGCTGGGTTGTTTTTACTTTTTTATTGTTGTATTTATTGTTGTATTTTTAATTGGGTTGTTTTTACTTTTTTATTGTTGAGTTTTAAAAGCTCTTTGTATATTCTGTATAACAGTCCTTTAACAGATATATCTTCTGCAAGTAGTATTTTCTCCCAGTCTGCGGTTTATCTTCTCATTTTCTTGATTTTTATAACCTCTTAAAAATGTAAAAATCAGGCCAGGCGCGGTGCCTCACGCCTGTAATCCCAGCACTTTGGGAGGCCGAGGTGGGCAGGTGAATCACCTGAGGTCAGGAGTTCGAGACCAGCCTGACCAATATGGTGAAACCCTGTGTCTACTAAAAATACAAAAATTAGCCAGGCATGACGACGTGTGCCGGTAGTCCCAGCTACTCAGGAGGCTGAAACAGAATTGCTTGAACCCAGGAGGCGGAGGTGCAGTGAGCCAAGATCGTGCTACTGCCCTCCAGCCTAGGCAACAGGGTGAAACTCCATCTCAAAAAAAAAAAGGAAAAATCATTCTTAGTTTATGGGCCACAAAAAAACAGGCTGTAGACCAGAGTTAACTTATGGGCCACAGTTTACCAACATCTGGTGTAGTCACATCCCTGGAATCTGATAGCCATTTATCAGGTCACCAAACACTTTAACACTCAAAAACTATATAGTTGTCCCTCTATTATAGTCTGTGAGTAATCCTCATTTTACAGATCAGACTAAAACCAGAACTCAAGAACAATACCCCCACAAAGCCATTTTAAGGAAATCCCATTTTTTTACCCCCTCCCCCCCAAAAATGGAAGCCAAAATAAGACGGTCACCATGAGTACAACTTACAGATGACAAGAAAGGTTCAAGAGGGTAACCAACCTCACCAATCAATCCATGGAAGAACTGCTTCTAAGCAAGGTGACCAATAAGATTAGGAGGCCAGGCGTGGTGGCTCATGCCTATAATCCCAACACTTTGGGAGGCCGAGACAGGAAGACGGCTTGAGCCCAGGAGTTCAAGACCAGTCTGGGCAACATGGTGAAATCCCATCTCTACTAAAAATACAAAAATTAGCCCGGCATGGTTGTGCACGCCTGTAATCCCAGTTACCTGGAAGGCTCAGGCAGGAGAATTGCTTGAACCCGGGAGGCGGAGGTTGCAGTGAGCCGAGAACGCACCACTGCACTCCAGCCTGGGTAACAGAGTGACACTTTGTCTCAAAAAAAAAAAAAAAAAAAAAAAAAAATCAAACCAGCATGGCAGCTCACTGGGAAGGTCTGGTTCTGAACTCCTTACATGGGTGACTAAAACCTCTCCGTCAATAATGGAGTAATTTAATACTTCTCTCAATGCTCTGGGAATGATTAAAGGAAAGAGAAATTTTTCCGAAAGTTCTATAAAACCAAAAACTACTGCAGGAGAGTAGAATTTGATCAGAAACGAGACTGTAAAAGTCTTCAAAGTCCCAACTCCTGCCAGTGTGATGCCACTATAGGCTGGCTGCCCAATAGAGCTATTTGCTCTAACCACAAAGAACTGGACAGCACTCAGGCTAGGTGGTTCCCATGGGGAACGGTGTCTGCACTCACTTCAAGAAATAAGCCGATAAATTCCCTCCAAGGGAAATACCTTCTCATTTCTGCTTTCAAAACTAAGAGCAGTCTTGCCTTGCCAGTCGTTTAACATATGAGGCTTTAAAAATTGATCAAAACAGTAAATCATAAGCAGAACATTTATCACCAGGTGAGGGAAAGGAATTTAAAAGAAAGAAAACACAAGAAGTAGAAAAACAAACAAACAAACAAAAACCTTTCTTTTCTTTGAATCCCCTGGGTTTACTGTGACCATTCCACTCCAAAGTGCCCACAGCATTATCAAAGAAAGCTAGTAGGAAACAAGCGGGAAAACAGGCTGGGCGCGGTGGCTCACACCTGTAATCCCAGCACTTTGGGAGGCCAAGGTGGGCAGATCACAAGGTCAGGAGATCGAGACCATCCTGGCTAACACGGCGAAACCCCATCTCTACTAAAAATACAAAAAATTAGCTAGGCATGGTAGCAGATGCCTATAGTCCCAGCTACTGGGGAGGCTGAGGCAGGAAAATGGCATGAACCTGGGAGGCGGAGCTTGCAGTGAGCCGAGATTGGGCCACTGTACTATAGCCTGGGCAACAGAGCAAGACTCCATCTCAAAACAAAAAACAAACAAACACAAAACAGGGAAAATAACAGTTGATTCAGAAACAAACATTTTCAACTAATTCCAGTCACCAGAGGTCCTGCCTTTTTGAGGGGGTTTCTATTTTCTTTCTTTTTTTTTTTTTTTTTTTTGTTGCCCAGGCTGGAGTACTACAGCGGCATCATCTCAGCTCACTGCAACCTCTTCCTCCCAGGTTCAAGCGATTCTCCTGCCTCAGCCTCCCAAATAGCTGGCACTACAGGCGCATGCCACCACACCTGGCTAATTTTTGTATTTTTAGTAGAGACGGGGTTTCACCAAGTTAGCCAGGCTGGTCTCAAACTCCTGACCTCAAGTGATCCTCTTACCTCGGCCTCCAAAAGTGCTCGGATTACAGGCATCGGCCACTGTATCCGGCCTGGGTTTCTAGTTCTATCAGCCATTGGCCATTGTGATAATTGAAAGGATCCCCTAGAATGACCCAAAAAAGATTCAGACAAGTCCTTTACTCTTTCCATGTCCATAGGTGATCCAATCTACATGCTACAAGGTGAATAATGACCTAAAGAAAACAGCCTTATGCCTGTCAGTGTGCTCCACTTATTTAAGCAAAGCAGGAATTCTCTAGCATGGCAATTTTTTTTTAAAGCAATATATTATACAGTTAAAGATGCCTTCCTAAAATAGACTCAATTCAAACTCTAACTGAAAAATAGATTCATCAGTGGCACTTGCCTATAATTCCAGCTATTCAAGGGGCCAAGGAGGGAGGATCACTTCAGCCTCTGAGTTTCAGTCCAGCCTGGGCAACATAGGAGGACCCCTTTAAAAAATTAAATGCATAAAAAAAGTCAAAGAAACATCATCTTTATCAAGTGACTGACTTTAGTGTTGACTACCAACAGTGGCTCTCAAGCTTTCTTCTGGCTCCACAGGGACTGTATGCATGACACACTCCTATCAATGCCATTTATTACATAATGATGCATTATCCTTCCCATTTTATGGGTGAGGACACTGAAGTCCCAGGAGTGGGAGTGCCTATATGTACATGAGAAAAACTGACTCATCAAAGGGCAACTGCCCAAGATCACTCAGGAGTAAAGTGCAGAGTTAGGCCTCATATCCAGGTCTCCTGACTTCTTCCTTTTCACTAATCACTATGGAGAAAACAAAAAACTCCCCTAGAAATTAGTGTGGTTTAGCAATTTTCTATTTTTCCCCAAATGAAATTTAACTCATTCCAGATTTCTTAGTGACAGAATACAAACAGGCTACGCACGGTGGCTCATGCCTGTAATCCCAGCACT